TATAATCGAAACAATACTCGTATTGTAATAGTCGATTGTTTATTTTTGTCTACAACTAATGTTTTTTTATTTTTTTGCTATCGCTGCTCGTAATAATAGACTATATTAAGTGTTAATAACAGTGAAATAATGTGCCCGAGTTTGCCTTTTGCACCATATCGTTGATTAAATCGCTATTAAGCCAAATATTTTTGTCATATACATTTTAAATTGATACGGTTTTAAATGTTAAATTTATACAGTTTAACATGTGTGTTTGTATATAAATCTATACATATAATAAAGTTGTCTGTTACCGCATCACGAGAAAACTACTGGACAGATTTTGATGATATTTGGTATGATGATAGCTGGTTATCCGGGTCAACATATAGGATACTTTTTACCTCGGGAAAATATCTCATTTCTGAGAAAAAAATACAAAAACTGCATTGTAAGAGTATACTAATATGTAAAACCAAGAATTTGGTTTTTGGTCATTTGAACGCGGGCGGAGCCGCGGGCAATGCTAGTTAAGAATATAATAAAGAAAATGCAGACGGCATCATAAAAAAATTAAAAAGCACTTTTATTTAATGCATCTACAAGTACTTATTGTCATTATTTCAATTAGTGAAACTAATAAAGAAAATATTAAAAAATACTTATACACGTACCATTACGTTCAAAAATAATAATTAACTAGCAATCAAAAAGTAATTTGCTAACAAAAAAGATAACAATACACCAAATTCTGCAACATTAAAAATTGGCGGAAAGCCTCAATGCGACAGTCATTTCACTTTCATTGGGTGCGCGTGCGCCGATGCATGACGACGCAAACATCTTTCTCCGTTTTGTTTGCTAGATTTCACTACATGCCAGCCAGATGTTAGACAATTTCTCTAAAGATATGTACTTATTTTAATTATTACTTATTTCACAGAATAACAGAGATTCTGTTGGTTTATTTCCAATGATATATGGATTTCTTTAATATATAATAATGATTATTTTACGATTATCTTAAAATACAAAAATATTAAAATCAACAATTTTTGTTTTTTAATAGAATGTAGCTGTAACATGCAAATGGAAACCTCAATAGCGATTTCTGTAAATGCAATTCTCAATCTCGAGTAACAGAAGTAACGATAAACAAAGGAACATGTCCAAATGTAAATTCAAATAATCAAGTACCGAATGTCTTAATACTGTTCCAATAATTTGCGGTGTACGAATGTATTGAGACTGTCATAAAATCGAGAAGTGTTACTTTAGCTTCTATCGCCTTCGTGTAAGGATGAATATTGAAAACCGTGTGTGGTTTGCAACGTCTTAATCAACATTCTAATTGGAGAAGAAAGTCGATTTTAACTGTAGCCTATAGTTATGTTTGCTGTTCACTATAATGTGGGCTACCTAAATAAACCAAATCGACATCAAATCTATTAAACAAGTTTCATACGAATGTTTAGAAAATTGTAAAATTTTAGCACTCAGTTGCTGGCTAGATGTTCTCTTTATAGACTAATGTAATTTGTAAAATTGATCAAACTGATATAGATCTTAAGAATAGAATATTCTACGTGCTAGTTTCGAGTAACAGCTTTTAATTTTCCATTATAGACCCCCTAAATGTAATAATGAACTTTTTGCAAGCGAATTCAGTGCCATTATGTAATTTGCCATACTTAATTGGTTCCAAGAACGTGACATGTAACGTGTAAAAACGCCGACGATCTCTGACGCTTCGGCGAAAGCACTATCATAATTCATACAGCATGACTAACGATCGGGTCGATGACTCCTGTATCTATATATATGATAAAAAACCATATTAGCTACCATGTAGTTAATGGAGCAAAAAGGTTTTGTTACGAAAAAAGAAATCATATGGGGATTTGAAATTCCAAGGCTATGTTTTATTTGTATGAAAAAATAAATTGCGCTAATTTTTCACGTAGTGGTTTCTGCCCGCGGCTGTTCGTCGGTTCCAATTGCTTCTGACAGACCTTTAACTGGTGGAATCTTATATCAAAAATAAAAAAAAAATAAAAATCTCTGGAATATTTAAATCAAGTAATAAAAATTAATAAAAAGTAAAAGTAAATAAAAATTCCAGAACGAAAAAAAATATGTACATATGTATATCCAAATTTTTTTTAAACATTAGAGGTAAAAGAATCATTTTTTTTTTGTATTAAAGGTATCTCAACTATCTGCATTATTTTAGATCAGAATTCCCAATAACTCATTCAATTACATTATTGTTTATCCCTGACGTTGATATTTCATATAAATCAAATCCAACCAGCCATTGGAGATATGTTCGCGCATCAATCACGGTTTAGCATTCGCACAATACGCTGTGGGTGTCGAAGATTTACTCTCATTCATATGTATGAACCTAAGCTATTTTTTCCCTACTAAAGCAGCTTGAATGACGTATATGACATTCAGACACTGCCCTATTATTTGTTTCACCAGGACCTGTGTTGGAAAATTATTTGCAATCGTAAATATTATATTCAACAGTTGGCTGTTTGAAATTAAAACCTCGGTCACTTTTGTAATTTATAGACGTATAAAGTGAGGATGAAGAACTAAACCCACGCAACCAACCAGTAGGATTAAATATAAACGGTGTACTTCTACAGTCATCTTAGCCTTTATAGCGTGATAATCCTGCCATAATATGACATAATAGACATATATTTTTTAATATATAGAAACTAATAAAATGTCCAAGCAAGAGCATCTTAAAACTTCTTATTGGCAATAACCAAAAATCTCTCATACTTTCTCCGAACATTTAAATTCAAATAACCATGATCGTAACCTTGATTTATTCAAAATCTATAAACGTTCTGTGTTAATTGCAAATAAAAAATTAATATGCAAAATAATAACTCGTTAGATCTATAAACATGTACAGGTCCACTCTAATGATGATTTAATGGTTGGTCAGATAATAATATGTCTCTATAAAGGGGGATAAATGAGAACATATCTGCGCGTGCGCCGACAAAGCGCGAGAACACGTTGGTGCCATTTTGTTTGTTTTGTCGATTAATATCGCCACTAGAATCGCAAAGGATTGTAAAAGGCTCCAACATAACGGAAATACAATTATTATACACAAAATTATGTATATCAATATTTGCTAAAGACAATATGGGGACTTCAAATGAATTACAAAATATGTTATTTTTTTTAAGAAAAACTAAAAGTAACTATGATAGTGTTACAATAACTTAGCCGAAAAATAAAATTGTCTAAAGAAACAGTGGTGATAATAAATAAATACTGATATTAAATTATATAGAATTGCTATTGTATGAGTAGTGTTGTCCAGTTACCTTAGAAATGAGACAAATTGTTCTTCACCTATAACCTAACGGTCTAACCGCATAGTACCCATTGTATTAAATGTAACAGAGCATCTTAACTATTATAATAATAAAATAAAACATTATTTTCTTTATAAAAACAGCTAATGTCATTCATTTGTCGCACTAACTAAGGTAATTCGTATACTAATCTGTCCTAGATGTCTATACCCATGGTGTTTATTATGGAGACATCTTATTCAATATTGTTGGAAAAACACAGTCCGGTAAAGTTAAAGTACAAGTAACTCACACCGACCCTATAGAAGATAATATAATGCTACTAGCGACTCATCCTCGCTCCGCTCGGGTTCGTCCCTAGTTACGTTTTAACGTTTAGTAGAGATTTCTCAGAGATGAGATATTTTCCCGTAGTAAAAAGTACCCTTTAAGTTGACCCGGATAACCAGCTATCATCATATCAAATTTAATCAAACTTTGTCCAGTGATTTTTTCGTAATGCGGTCACAGACAGACAGACAGACAAAAATTCTAAAAACTATAGTTTCGGTTTCTGTATCGATAATGATGACTATTTCAATAAGATTTTCTAAAATATATTTAATGTACAGATTCGGCTTAGAATTTTATTATATGTATAAATTTACTCTTATTTTATATACTTGCCTTTTCAATACTACATTTCCATTAAAGCTTTGCTCGTAAACATTAAATATTTCTTATGTGAATGAACAATATACTTTTAAATTATAACGCCATTCCTTTTTACGATTATAAACTGTGGATTTAATTTACGGCCACTATAACGCCTTCACGAAATCTAGAGTACAATTATTTATTTTTGCCTTGTATCATCGCGTGCGATGTAAATGTTTCGAAGGAACAGCTCCACAACTTTGCATGATGACATGTTCATTTATATTATTTGATCGCCGCGCCGCTATGTTACAACTGCTAAAGTTGCCATCAGACCCGGATAATAGCATATTATATAGACTCCGCCTGGTACATTTTCAATGAAATTAATTAATATATGTATTGATTTATATCAGGGTCATCATGCTAGCAACATTTTGATGTGCAAAGGTTTTTTTTAATATACAGGTTTTTTTCGCTGGCAATAGTACGCTTTCTAGTCTGAGGGCTTCCTAACTCGTAAATTATCGAATAAAGGGCGCATATTTTGTGTTTTTCTCTTATTTTCGACCTTGGCACGCGATCTGGTCGTTGCGAGATTTCTTCAATTATCTCGATCCGGTGCGCAGTCGATGTTCAGCATAATGTCAACCTTCAACTCCTCTCAGGTTAATAGACCACACTGCTGATAAAATGATGCCTGAGGCTCCACTTAATGATATGGAGATTTGCTTTATACGAAGAGTGGAGTTCGATAAAATTATCTTAAATTAAAGAACGTTAAAAATTATTAAGGTCAGCTACATACGGTTAAAGGTACTTGAGGCAATGTTACGGCCCTGCTAAATACAGAATCATACGTTAAATCCACTGTAGCTGTAGATAATTTTATATAATCAATTTTCTCAGAATCAATTTTGTCATCTTACGAACACTGAACGACGATTCTCCTCCTTAATTACATATCATAATATTCAATAGTTAAGATGAAATACTTGCAATATTTTTCACGAGTATCATTTCTTATTATAGTGTACACAGATCAACCGGTATCATCAGCATCTCCACCGACACGAGATAAAATAAACGGCGAGGAAAAGGCGCGCTCCCGTCGCAGGGACACTTGGCCGGAACCAGCGACTACGACCGTTACTGATGAGGGTATGTCTTAATGTATTATCTTTCCTATATATTTTTAAATATCCAGAACTGTTAATAAAGACCATTCATTACATAAGTTGAATCCTTTTCTATATGAATAAAAACCACTTATATATACATAGCTTTAAATGAAAAGCTTTAAATTTGTCAAGATTTCTGTTGTTTCGGTTTTCTGGGCATTTAGACACATTGGACGTATCGGAGATGTACTTATATCTTATGTTTGTTGTTTATTGCACTTAAAAACGTTCTACTTTTTATTCATCTCAGTGAGCGTAGTTAGATCACCACTGCTTCAGCAACAACATCAACAGTATGATGAACAGTTGCGTGATATAGCAGCTTCTTTAACTCGCCCACGTTCTCGTCGCGCTTTGCCGCCTACCCTCGAACGACCTACCAGGCTTCCACCACCAGATAGACTACCAGTGAGTATCTAGATTAACAAAAATGTTTAGCAAATGATGAATTAGCGAATCAAACCCCCATGTTGTATGCGACAATTTTAATTGTTGTTTAATTAAAACCCAAGGTAAGCAAAACTTTAGGACGTTTGCAATAATAAATATTTTTTCTTTTACCAATAATTTACTTTTTATAACATAGAATTTTAATTTTATGATTCTAAAGTACAATAAATGAACATCAAGTATCGATTATGGTACTGCATTTAAAACTACCATATGCAATAAGTAGGTTGCGATTTGCTTGGATATTCAAGGTTTAATACAACTTGCCATTTAAGAATCTAAGTGTTAAATTAAAACTAAATAAACCTTCATATTATCTATATTTGGAAGGAATCCTTAATTATAATAATTGCATTTTAATGTTAAATTATAGGCACGAGGCTCACCAGATGGCGGTCCACCTCCCGAAGAAGGTATAACTAGTTCAGCTTCAGAAGGAAGTGAGCCGATTGATGTTGTTGAGGCCACAGAAAACACTGAAGGAGGTAGGGTAGAGTTACCAGCTGAGAGACTTCTCCATGCTCGAGCTGGATGGCTTCAAAGACGAGGACCTGGAGGATGGTCACGACACTGGTTTGTTCTACGGGGAGCAGCTTTACTCTACTTTAGGGATCCTCATGCTGAACATAGGGGTCTCATGGATGGAGTAATTGATCTTAGCGGGATTTCTAGGGTCGTGGAACTGCCGACTTCTGCTTCTACAAATGGATATGCTTTTGAAACTGAGGTAATTATTATTATTTAAAAATCACTTTTAAAAAAGATATTTTAACTTTATCATATGTAATAATAAACAATTATTGCTTTTTACAGACTTGGGATGGCAAACTTATAGTGCTATCGGCAGTTACAGCAGGAATAAGAGCGAATTGGGTGTCAGCTATGAAAAGAACCGCTGGTTTATCTGACTCTGGTCCACTCTCACTTATATTGCGTGAAGATGCAGTTGACCAAGCATCTGAATCGTCCACCTCACCTATCACACCTGTTACTCCTAATACTACCAAGTCTGGACCATTTTCATCCGATGAAGAGTACAGAACAGCATCTGAGGGTGGAAGACGAGATAGTGCCGATTGGGGAGACGTTGCACCTCAACCACCACCTTCTCCTATCCTTAATCGAACTCCTATATCTAAAGTCAAGGAAAAGGTCCGTGCGAGAGGCAGTCAGCCAACACAACCCAGAAACGATACGAAAATTGAAAAAGATGAAGTCGATACTACCAAAGAAAAAGACCTTCCAATAGCCGAGGTTGATGAAAACGAAAAACCAAATGAACCCAGAAAACGCAGTTATAATTCAACAATAGACAAACAATCAATCGAAATTGAGGATTTGCGAAAGCAGCTTAAATTAGCATTAAATGACGTCAATACAGCTGAATCAGAGTTAGCAAGACTTCGTAAATTAAAAGCGGACGCTGCATTGAGAGAAAAGAAAATGGAAGAATTGGTAATATCTTTACAAAAGAAGGAAGAAGAATTATCTATTAGAACTAAAGAAGCTGAGAATTTGGATGCTATAAAACAACTATACAATCAAGATAAAAGTATGTGGGAGACGAAACTAACAGAAACTCAAAACTTTTTAAAGGAATCCACCGACCACTGTGAACTGTTAACACAACAGCTAACTACTGCACAGGAAAATATTAAACAACTACAAAAGGAGTTAAGCGAGCTTAATGATAAACTGCTAAAAAGTGTTAAAGAAAATGAAAGCTTATATACTAGAATAAGAGAGCTCGAAGGTAAAATTGTAGCTGAATCGCCGACTAGAGAAAAAAGAAAGAGTATTGGGTCGTTAAGCGATCTCAGCAATATTAACCAAAACCTAAATGTGGAGTCTTTAGAGAAAAGTAGACTGATCGAAGAATATGTTGAATTAAGAAATAGATTCTTGATGGCTATACAAGAAATTAAGGCTATGAAGAAAGAACTTCGTGAATCACATAATGTGTACGATGAGCTCGAGGTTACTAATATGAAATTAAGAAACGAGATGAAACTGAGAGAGCAATGTAGTAGATCGGAAATTGATTTACTTGCATCTCGTATTTTAGATCTTACACAGAAACTAACAGCATCAGATAAGCAAGTACGAACCTTGAAACATAAAATTCAGAAGACAGAATCAAGAGACAAGCGTCGTAGCTTATCATTAAAAGGAAGAGAATCGTTCACATTAGGCAAGGAAGTTGAGGAAAAACTTACAGAATTAGAAAATAAGATCACGATGCTTGAAACTGGTGAACCAGTACCTGTAATAAACTCTCCCTCTAAGAGTGCTTCGCCTGTTAAAGAAAAAGTATCTAAAACGGACAGTGTCACAGATGAAAAAAGAATGAAAAGATTAGCCGCGCGATTAAGAAGAAAATCATTAGATAGTGCCACAAGTTCTGAACCTATGAAAATGCTAGTCCGTTTAAGTTCTCTTGAAACCAAAGTTGCTTCTGCTCTAGAAAACCGTCGAGATTTAACAAATTCTTGTGAGTCGTTAAGTCCCATGACAAGGTCCACTGAAAGTCCACTAAGCAATGAAAGTCCGGAAACTTCAACGATCGGCACGCAGTCCCAAAGGCATCTCTTAGACAGGTTGCAGAGCCTTGAAAATGTTGTCATTATGTCCAGGAGCAAAGTAAATGAATGCTTAAGTCAGATGAGCGCCATGCGAGCAGCTAAGTCGCGACGATCACCTTCGCCAAGTGTGGAAAAGAAATACAGCATAAAATCTATGGAAAAGTGTTTAATGGATGTAAGCAAAAGGTTACAAGAATGCTTCGACAAATGCATTATAAATTCTACCGAAGAAGCCGGAGAGGAAGTAAACGATTATGTCGCGCAGGTGGTAGTACAACTCGAGGAGCAACTGAGAACAAAACTTTTAGAAATTTCCAAAAAGAAGGCAGCTCTCTATGAAGCTGGAGAGCTAACTCAGAGAAAGAGTTTAGAAATACTAGCAGAGAAACTAGCCTACGAAGCAGTGCTTATAGGCAGAATACAAGAGGCTTTGGAATCTTCCAATGGGAGCAGATTCTTCGCTAGATTGATAAAGTCTGAAATAAATGAAACTAGTCAATTAATCGATAACCTTAAGTGTAAAATATACGGCGACAGCGCAAGATCCACCTCAACCACCAAGAGCTCCCTCGACTACTTGGCTAGAATATTGTCGAGGAAGATCGACGTGATGACGAATAGCCGAGACTCAGACGAATCTAAATCCGAAGTGATCATTCAGAGTGCAGATCTCGAGGCTCTAAAAATGTCACAGAAAGAAGTCGCCGCAGCTGTGGAAAAATATAAATCAGAAAAACTAGCCGAATTGTGCTCAGCTCTGGCTAGTGAGAGTTTGAGCTACACTACGACCGACAGCGACCACGAGCAGCAGAGGTGCAACCTGGAGGCGGCGCGCGTGCGCGAGGCGTGGGCCGCGGCGCGCGACGCGCTGGGCGCCGAGCTGGTGCAGGCTGAGGTGGCGCGGGCCCTCGCGCGCGCCGCGCAGATGTGCGAGCAGCGCCTGGACGAGGCGCGGCGTGCACGCCTCACGCTGTCCGCACAGCAGCGCGCCGACCTGGAGCTGTGGTGGCAGGCCGCGCACGACCACCTGCGCTGCGAGATGGACGCCGCCGTGCGTGACATCGCGGCGCAGTACCGCGAGTGCGCCGCCGCTCGTGCGCCGCCCGGGCTCGACAGCCGCGCGCTGCTGCAGCAGCTGGCCGACGTCCTGGCGCACAAGGCGCTGGTGGACGCGCGCGTGTCCGTGCTCGAGGGCACCTATCGCGCCTCGGAGCCGCGCGCCCGCCGGCCCGAGGACGCCATCTCCTCGCTGGAGACGGACCCGGCCCTCGAGGCGGAGTTCGTCTACCTGTTCCGGCACTTCTCGACGGAATGCCGGGCGCTCTTCTCCAGTGACTGTTCGGGTAACAGTGAAGACTCGATGAAGATCGGCGAGAGCCTTGAGCGCGTGGAGGCGGCGGTGGCGGCGGCGCAGCGGCGGCTGGCGGGCGAGCAGTGCGCGGGGGAGGGCACGGGGGAGGATGAGGGGGAGGAGAGGGAGACTTGCGGCGCAGGGGACGTGGCGCAGCGCATGGAAGCACTGCGGCGGCGCGTGGAGGCGCTACAGTGCCCCCAGTGCGCGCGCCTGCAGGACGCGCTGGAGCGCCTCACGGCAGAGCGGGCGCGCGGGGAGTGCGCGCTGGCGCAGCAGGCGGCGGCGCTGGCGGCGGCGCGGCGCGCGCGCACACAGCTGCAGGCGCAGCACGAGCGCGAGCGCGCCGCGCTAAGAGAGCGCGCGCGCACACTGCAGCGACGCCTCGCCGCCCTGGACTCTGAATATTCTGCACAGTTGGAGAGTCTACGTGCCGCATATCAGGTTGGTTGACTTGAGTATTCGAATTTCACTAAAAATACGCAATTGATCTGTGTAATGTAAAAGCTGTACAAAACTAAACAAACATTGTTCTGCAGAGCGCAGTGGCGGCGGACACGCACGGCGACAGCCTGCGCGCGCGCTACCAGCAGGAGATCGAGCAGCTGCGCGCGCTGTGCGAGAAGGGGCTTCTAGCGATGGAGAGCTCGCACCGCCGCATCGTGCGCGAGATGGAGGACAAGCACCGCGCCGAGAGAGATCAGCTCAGGTACGTATTCAAGGACCTTTATCATCCTAAACACATCTACGGTTGAAATTTTGAAAATATGTATATCCTATATAACTTTAACAATTGTACCGTAGAGGGGGAGGAGTCTTAGTTGAAAGAAAAAACAGGTCACGTAATTAATGGATGCTCGCTTAGATTTTTTCAAAAACCAGTTTCTGGTTCTGACCTACGATTCGCGCGAACAGTAAATTAATTGAAATTGGCCCAGTCTCCTGTTTTCTTCTCCTCAATTCTCATTCCGTTATCTTCTCCTTTCTAGAATGAAATTACCTTTAATGCAAGTTTTATTTCATTAATTTCCAGGCTAGAAAAAGAGCAAGCACTAGCTGAAGAAACACGTGCGACGCTAGCGGCCTTGGACGCGATGAGGAAAGCGCACGAGAGCGAGGTGCGGCGTGAAGTCGACAAGTTCAAGACGGAGTTCCTCGCGCGGGGAGCCCCCGACTTGGGACAACTAAGCTCGAGGCACCAGTGAGTTGCAGTGTATTAAATAAAATACACTTAAAAAATAAGACTCTTAGAGATATTTAACTTTTTAAATAAATTAAGTTTTTTCAACTTTTTCCACTACTTCCATAACCATTTTGCTGTAAAGCATTTAGAAGGTTGGAAATCAAAAAGCAAAATTGTGAAGAAATTGTTTTACTGTTTTTAAAATTTTATGTTTTTGAACTATAATCGAAAAATATATATTTTATCATTTATTTAAATATGATAACTAAGATATACTTAAACTTAAACGATTATTGCAGGCAAGAGATGGAAGAAATAAAACGTGAGATCTTGTCGCTGTCGGAGAAGTACTCAGTGAAGTGCGTGGAGTCGGCGTCGCTGGAGGAGCGGCTGGCGGCGGCCAGCGCGCAGCTCGCGCACGCGCACAACCACATCATGCAACTGGACGCTAGGTAATATAAATATGGCCGCCAGATCCGCCATTTTGATTGATATTTTTCTTGAATAGAAATTGAACCTGGAACTTCATCCCTTTTTTGTATTAATTAATATCATCCCTGTACTGTTACAAGTATTTTTCTTGTTAGGCCGCTGCCACCTTCCAAGTCTAACCAATTATAAAAGAAATTCGAGCATAGAAAGGAATATAGTAGACTATACATTCATTTATATCCGTGGGGTATCAATTTAATATAAAAAAAATAGTTTAAAAAAAATAACCAAATTAATTATAAACTTACATATTACAGAAATAAGCAGCTCCGAGCACATATAATGTCTGAAGCGAACGATATGAAGAATTGTGAAGCGTCCACACTCGCGCAGCTCATAGAAGACACGGCACCGGTACGTACACTCACCTAGCATTAACGCAGGTATCGGACACGCTTTATATGCTTTTCAAGCTAAGACAATGCTTGCATGACGTCACGCACATGTAACATTTCACCTTTAAAAAACATAGATTTCTCCAAATATTTTTATCTGCACAATATTTTTAGTCTGTATTTAGTTTTTTTTTTATTTACTATGCCACAAACACTTGCTATATTTTTTTTGAGCACTATTAGGAGTTTTGATCGCACTAATCGAATTGTGCAGAGCTTAAAATTGGCTGTAATATAATTATAATATATATGCGAAATAAAAATATTTATTAATTATATAGTATAGCTATTGGCATTATAAAATTATATTTCAACAATTATTAAATAATACTATTATATGTAAAAACTAGTAAATTATTTGAATAGTTATCAATTTTATTGTGAAAAACGTAAATACTCTATAAAATACCGATTAGAGGTTTTATAATTTAATTTTAATAAAATAACTAAATTAAATAAAACATTTTTGGCTGGAATTACTAAATCAATAATATGATAGAAATAATAAAAATAGCCATTAAGCGATCAATTCTCATATACATACAAGTAGCAGTAGTAAGTGTAATTTTACATTGTGGGCTGTGGCGGGACTAACAGCATGGGGAGACGCCGCTGTGGAGCCACCTGCGCCGCCTGGCCGCCGTCTGGCAGGGGAACCCCGCAGGTAACCACGCAACCGATCAACCATTCAATTATACAACCATCAACCTTTCAACCATAACCATAACTCTTAACATTTTCTCAACTTAACACGTCCGAAGAATGCTTACAGGATTAAGGACTAAACCAACCAGTACAAAAATCTTGATATAAATATAAAATAAATATTTTTATGGCAAAACTATATCAATAACATAACATACATCTGATATTATATGAAATCACTTTAACATGTTCGACTATAAAATTAAATACAAATAAGAACAGGCTTCACGTTTGATTTATTATTATGCATAAGGATAATAAGGCCTATAAAATCAATTTCAAATTACAATAACAAATTACAAACATTGACTCACGTCTACTTATGTTTGAAAATTACTAAGATAACGATGTGCCTACAACTAATCTGGTAATTCTCATTGGCAATATAGAAATAAAATTATCCTTCCTTTTGTTATAATTTTTAATATTTTTTGTTCCGATTTCTGTATATTTTTCTTTTTTTTTTAATATATTGAAAAAAACCATTACTTATTTTTATTTGGTAAAAATGTACACCGAGTCATATAGCAGCTATTTTATTTATTTTATCTGTAATGTAAAAACAATAATCAAAGGTCATATGTACGTAGAATTCTTGATCATAGCCTTTCATCACTGTATATTTAAACATGAAATAAATCGTTTTGTGTGTATGATTGTAAATATGTATAATGTAGTTATTTGCATGAGTTTTCTGCTTTGTCTCCGTCCCTATTTTATCCTTCAGATGACCACTAAACCACATCCACTTTTGCTTAGTGTTTGGACTTCTTTTGGATGTAAGATTGGAAGGACTTTCTATTACTTATTCATTTGTTACTTGGACTTACTTGACTTACTGGACATTCTATTTCTTTTCATATGTACGTATATAAAACGCAATGAATTAAATATATGTCATAAATATTTTAGGGCATTTAAACCCCCGAAACAATTAACCGTAATGCAAAATAAAATATTCCATCATAAACTTAATAAATTGCTCAGTCATTCATCACGTGCACTCGTTGACCGAAGAACCTTCACAGATAATTAAAAATCTAATACAATCTAAAAAAAATAACACTTCCTAGAATGCTGGCAATGCTATATTTAAAAAAAATTAGTTGTATGCATTTATTATATGTGTTTATTATGCCTTAGGGGAAGTCATCTCGGTCGAGCGGACTGGAGCGAGCGCGCGCCTCCGGCCTGCAGTTCCCGAAGGCGGAGAGCCCCAGAAATCTACAGTTGTCTCCCGTACAGGTAACTATCTAAATTATTTTATTGTAAACATTATTTAAATTGCAATTTTCTTTAAAGTTTAACTTAGGTGACACTCTGTTACCTGATTCCACAAGTACTCAGATATTGCGAGACCTAAGCTAAAGCATCCAAGGCTCCACGAACTTGAGCTTATCAAGACTTTTCATCAAATTGGGAAGGACGTAGAATGCATCGGAGAATGGACATGGGCTACCTGCTAGCCACGTGCCATAACTAAAGTATTATGAAAACAAATATATATTTTTAAATGTTATAATTTCCATAATACTTTATTTAATTTATAATAATTTATTTGTTCCCAGAACTAAAGACTCCTCGTTGCAGCGCGTTAGCGGGCGTCGTCGCGGAACGCAAGAAGCTGTTTGAAACTTAGCGACGCAATTTATCTATAATATTTTACGAGTACCCACCATGTCTAATATATAAAGTCAGGTGGGCTCAATCACCGGTCACAAGCTTCCCACCACGCCGGCACCTGGCCACTGGCTTCGTCACACGAAGTAAATACATAATATATCCTTTACCCACGTTATATATCTTGTAATGTATACGAGTTAAGATGGCGGTAAAAATTGACAGATGGGACGACAAAGTCCACATCTATAAAACATATTAGCATTGTAAAATTAATATATTGTATTAATTTATATTTAAGTTATTCACTAAGACCAAAAAATGTTCTTCCTCTATGTGAAGTGGCCAGAACTTTTGACTCCCACCCACCACTACTGTATATAACTTGTTTTCATTGTTTTTTTGACATAATTTTAATTAACTATAGAGTGTATATTGTTTTCATTTCTTCCTCTTTAATATTAAAGATATGCTCTATTAGATTCATACAGAGATAGTAATTTTTAACATTTATTTTTCTGTCAAACCCATTTGACAGTTCGGATGAATTAAAAATTATTGTCTATGGTCTTATATAGCATAATTTTAAATTTTGACTCAAGTCAACGGTTTCCTCGCCTTGGACGCGTAGCAGTAGTATCGGGTTAGTGATGTATTCCTGTAAAATTGTACCATTGTGTAAATACTCACCTACACTTTTGTAACCAGTCTCTTCAGTTTGCTTTTTTATTATCTTATAAGGAGTTTGTTACCAAATATTTCTTATTTATGTGTTTTTTTGACATTCGCGTTATGCCTTTTATTTGGAGGCACGGATATACACTTGCTGTTCCGTCAGTGTGGTAGCAGCTTTACAATCGTTTTAGACATGTCTAAAACTTTAATTTTTCCAATTTTCATTTTAAAGAAAAGGCGAGATTACTCATATTTAAGTTTAAATTGAGTTTGGGAGTGTTTTAGCTGCTGCTAGTGGCATATACATATTATATGCGAAGGAAAGGAGAGTATATCTGTGCCTTCTTTAGTTTTAATGCCCTTGTTTATGACTTTTGTAGATTTATAAAAAGACTTACACATATATCCGGATGTGGGAGATTTCAGATTTTGGATTCGAGTTGGATATCGTAAGGCATGTTTTCATAGACCTGTTACGTCTAAGATATTTTACGTACATTTGATTAAAGTTGACATTAAATAAATTTATGTAGCAGGTGTGTACTTTAGACATATTGTTTTAATCATTAACACGATATTTTAGAAGTTTAAAGTTTGACCTTGTGTTTCGTTTTAGTGGCTTATCATATTTGACTACCCACATTATTTAAAATATTTAATTAAAAAATTTAATATGAATAATCAATTAAAAATTGATTTAAATATTATAACAAAACTGCGAAATTACTGAACAATTAACTCTTTATATTTACAAGATAAACGTTAATATACAACCTTATTATAATTAAGAGAAAATAATAATAATAGTACCTATGTGCTATATATATTTGGTTTAATTTAACCGACACAATATCCCAGTCGAGTATGGTAAGCCTGCACTGTGTGTTACCATGTTTCCAGGGCATTCTCGTCTTCCCTCACGTTGTTGTGTATAGTTTTCACGAAAATATGCCTTCCATTTGCGTTTGCTCAACGTATGACATTGCACGGCTTGTGACGCGGACGGCTATTGGTGTAATAGAATCAACGTATGTACTTTTAAGCTAAAATTCGTAAATTAAGTTTATTTTTTTAACCATTCGTAATGGCTTCTAAATTTTGGTCTAACTGTTAAAAATTCAATGAGCTTTTATTGTATGTAATTTTAAAACTTTACTTAAATTCAATTGAAGTAATTTTTAATGATATATTTTTTATGTATTTTAGGTGCTATTACACCAATAATCTTAAGTCTATCTCCCTCTTAGTTGACGTTGTAAAGTGTTGGTTTATATAACAAAGATTTTTAAAATAAACTACTTAATACAAATAATTTCGTTTTATTTCCACCTGCAGTCTTACAAAAATACACTAAAATAAAGGCAAGCAAATGTTTATATAATACTAAAATACAATTTTATTTTATTTATTACAAAAAATAAGAAAGTACGGTTTTAGAATAATTTAGCCATCGCAAAGACAAACTTCTATAAGGAATAAAACATTTTTTGAACAAGAAAATGAATTAAAATATAAGAAAAATGTAAACCGTTGTTTTATTACACTTTGAACCTCTATCTATATTTTTGAAGTTATACTTCTTTTGGGACGTTTGGAAAAAAATTATGAGAGAAAATTTTTACGATGCGCGCACACACTGACAGCCAAAAAGCGACATTATGAAGTTAGCAGCATTCCTTTTACAAACAGAGAGTTGTGCATGTTGAGTGTTCTTTAGCTATTTTTGTTCTGTTACGCCAAAGAAGTATAACTTCTTACGTGCGTACATAAGTACACACACGTTTATATTTTTTATAATATAGTCTACAGCATTGATATTGTAACATAATTCTTGAGATGAGATATTAACAAAATAAGTAAGAATTATAACTTCCAATCATAGAAATTTTGCTAGCACTATAAAAAATTGCTCAAATCAAGTAAAATTAACATTTTAAATAATTTACTTACGCTAGAAAGTTTAAAGCAATGTGAAAGCAAGTAACTTAAATACGATATGCGATTAGTGACTTAATAATATTAGGTACAAATAATGAACTTTTTGTGAAATACTGATAAAAAAATTTATTTGCAAATTTTTTGCTCTTACAAAAAGTTATGATTTATGTATCATCAACATTTACATCTAGTTGCGTTCAAGTAATGTGTTTATTAAGTTACTATAATTTTGCATTTCTAAATAAATGATGGTATAAAAATCTGTCTTTAATTCACAGACTTCAAATAACATTTATGTATAGGAAAGATTAAACAGTGTTTTTTTATTATCTGAATATAGCCTCACAGTTGTATAAGAGGTTTTTCCACTGCCTCTTGGCGACCACGTAATTTGGCGCGCCATTCACTTCTATCTCTCAGTATCTTATTTCCATAGGCTTTGTGAATGTCTCTAAATGGTACTTTTTTACGAGGCACCTCGTTTGACTTAATACTTTCTTTATCTGTAATTAAAAATGTTGGTTAAAATACATGTAACCAAAACTATTAAATATCCTTCTGTCACTTGTTTAGTTTATAGTTTTAAGGAACTTTGTCAATTTAACATACAACACATCAAATTGCCAGTTCAACACAACATAGACAACAAAATGAAAAAAAATCCTATTAATTCCTCTTTTGATCAACTAAATCAATTTACTTACGATGTCTACTCCCAGTCACAGCTTTGCTTTCTCCATCAGGAACTTTATTAAATGGATTGTGACGTTGACCTCTTGGAGGAACTTTAGGTTCTTCTTCTGCAGATGAGACAGTTACCATTGCTGCTGCCTCAGCCGCTTCTTCAGCTAAAAGACATAATTAGCATCCTATTATTTCTAACATAGTAAATTAAAATATAATACTGAAAAAAATTATAATATCAAATCAAAATAAATACTTTACCTTGAGCTTCATCCAATTGTCTCTGTAATTCAGCTACCATTAACTTCATGTAATCATAACTTCCACATGCCAAAGCCTTCATCCAAGCCTCCATAGAGGCTTGTGAGTTTGTGCATAAGAAATATGTTCGGCCTCCTTCACAATGAAATACTATTTTAAAACTGTATGATTCTTCTTCTGTCAGTTCTAAAATAAACAAAATAATATTGGATATAACACAATTTGAAACGCATATAGAATTGAACTGGTATGTTATAAATTACCAATAGTGCACCCTTCGAGTATGATAACGCCAACTGGTTCTTTATCTCCTTTCTTGTCGAAATAGAACAGTAGATTCCCTTTAAGAGTAAACCAGCGTCGCTGATAACTCTTGCCTACCTCGCCTCTCATATCCAGCCAACCCTCACGGTCTACAGGAGTCGCTGATGAGGCGAATGCGCATAAATTCTTCTCGTTTATCTTCATCTTTCACTTATTTAATGGAATCTAATAATTAAAGACCATGTCCAATAAATAATCTGATACCCGAATCAAATACGGAAATATTAATTCAACTATACTACTACTTATTTGAATTGGTGTTACGTGTTTAATTATATAAACTTTATAGTCAATAAACAAAGGAAATATTTAGGAAAAATATGTTTTATGAGTTAGTATTTGTACTTAATGTCAATGTCATCTTGAAGTCTGAACCTGTATGAACTATGAAGCGAGATTCCGCTATGTCAAATTGACATTTACTTGACAGGCTATTTATTTATTTTTAATATTTTGCTTATTCTTTAATGGATAGACCATAGTATTTTAAAGGCGTGAATGCTGTGCTATACAGCATATTTATATTACATAATAATATCTTTGAACGTCCATCAGGCATCTCATAGAATGAATGTACCGATTGCCAAAATTTACAAATATTATTTAAAATACCGAGTACGTCGAGTTTTCCCAAGAGCACAAATGTCTAAACGTAACTTTTAAATATCATACCAAATTTTAAGGTATTTCAAATGTTTATCCTTTGGAAAGGGGAAAAATATTTCCTTATTCTGAATAGAGACAAAATAAGTTATTAATAACTGGAAGCAGCAAAAAAGAAAAAAAGGCGAATTCTTCTTTAGCGCTCCGGGGGGGATGTCCAGTTTTTGAAACGACTGCGGTTTCTATTGATTTCAATTTATTATGCATCCATGATTTCAATAGCCTGATAAAAAATGTCTCCTTAGATATAGCTAAAAGAAAAACCACAGCGGAGCATGTGGCCAATCCAGTTTTACTTACGGCGCGGCGCTGGATCTATTGGTCGATTTGGGTTGTGTCAGCCTTCCCATGGTTTGTAATCCACAAATATCAAATAGGTAGCTTTTCTAGCAAAATATTTTCTTCCAACAGGTGAAAAACAATCGAAAATCAGAAATTTCTGAGATTAGCCCAACCAAAACAAACTCAGCGCGACGGTGATGGATTTAATTTATTATATGTAATGTATTAATTATCATTGATTTGTTGAATAGGTTAGACTAAAATTTGTGGAATTTCACTAAAAACACAACTTATTATGTCTACAAACTTTTATAGATCAGGACAGCTTAAGAATCAAATAAGAACATTTCTTCAAAATAACTTAACACTAATTCCACTTTTTGTGGTGGTGTTTATGAATTTTGTATGGGACCGACCTCGAGTTAGTACATCATATAACAATAAACATATAAACAAAAACATACAACCAAATATAGTATCTCCTTTTTGAAGTCTGTCAAAAATGATTGTTGATCAATTCAATTCTCTTGTTTGTCTTTCCCATTGATTCAAAGAAGTTGAGAGAGTACCAATGTCACGTAGAATGGAGAAAAATTGTTGATCTAAATTCTCAACGATTTCGAATATCTCTTTAACTATTTTTTGTTCTCAATACATTCATTATAAAAACTCAATTTCCTATCTTCATTATCTATACATATAATAAAATTGTAACTAAGCCGTATCTGTACATTAAATATTTTTTGGAAAATCTTATTGAAATAGACATAATTATCGATACAGAAGCCGAATATTTTTAGAATTTTTATCTGTCTGTCTGTTACCGCATCACGAAGAAACTACTGGACAGATTTTGATGAAATTTGGTATGGTGATAGCTGGTTATCCGGGTGAACATTTCATCTTTGAGAAATCTATACAAAACGTAAGTAGGGACGAACTCGAGCGAAGCGAGGGTGAGTCGCTAGCTGTTATACATAAATGTATGGACAATGGACATGGGGCCTCATTACGAAGAAAAATTAGTTCAAATAAATGTCAATAAATGAAGTTACATGTATCGATTTGTAATTAAAGTTTTGTTAAATTAACAAAAGATAAATAAAAAGATCCCAAAAAGGTGTATTATTGTTTTAAAAAATATTCTAACCGATTAAATTCTTTACTGATAATTGAAATATCAACAATCAGATGATGGGTTTGTAGTGTATATTCATAGATGGCGCTTTTACTTTTTATGAACAGTTTATTACGGTTAAAAATTGTTAAAATCACGGATTTTTTATTCGAATGCAGGATGAATTTTACTATATTTACGATACAATAGTTTGCACATATTTTCAAAATAAAACAGTTTAACTATTTGCGAATCAAAAACATCTATTATCTATTCAATCCAACAAAAATAGCAACAATTAACGCTGTCCAATTTTTATAGGTCATCCCACCTGTACAATAGTATTATGTGATTTGTGGTATGGATATAACTTTCTCCATTGTAAAGGATACAAAATAAAAGTATGCAATAAATATGTAATATTTTATTCATAATTATTATTACCTATTTTCACAGTTATTTATAAAGTTATATTAATATCAAGTATTACACTAACTTTTGTTTACGAATTTCTAACGATTGCTCCATTTAGAAAATTTGATTTCCATATCAATCATCAGATTTGTCCGCTTACACGCTAATATATGACAAAATGATGAGGTCTATATACAGTACGATCCCGATTCCCTAAAAAAATTGACAATTCACAATAACAAAAAAGTCAAAAACTTAAAAATAATTCATTCAACTACAAAATCTCGCTTAACAAACAACTGTACAAAATATTACGAGTGGTTTCTTTAAAACGTGCTCCGTTACACATCGGCAATGTGGGCAAATAATCAACGGTACATCGAACTACCACGTTCCTATTTACAAAAATGTCGTTTTACAAAACAAAATATAAACTATATACAACATCATTAAATATTCTCAAATGCTGTAACACATTTAAAACATTTCATATTCAACTAGCCATAATTCAGTTAAACAGCGACCCGGCGGTCGCGACGATACAATTAAATAATTTATGTATTCCGGCATGCCGCCCTACTATACAGAGCCTGTACAATTCGCCTACTAACAGGGGTACATAGACGTAGCGAGGTCGGGGCACACACAGGCCAACCCGGCTACATTTACAGATCCCGCCACTGATAAAATAAGTTTACAATTAAAATTAATCAGGTAATAAGCAATATAAAAACTCATAATTTGTTGTACAAACAAAAACTTCCCCAAGATTGTATCTACGAAGACGTAAAGTACGCAAGTTTGTGAATGTGTTCAAGACAACTCCAAGATGAGCATCACGCATTGTCCCTATGTATGTACATATTATAATATCTTTATGACACTTGTCTATTACTTACCTTTAGTTTATATTAAAATAGAAAATTTCATATACCTACCGAACTGTAAGAGATTCGACCGAGCGACGCGACACGACGCGGCGCCGCATCGCGCCGATGCAACGGATTTCATTTATAGTTTTATAAAACGACTCTAATCGTACAAATGCTAGTTACGAATGTGATCTAGTGGGCTCTCATTAAGACTATTCATCTAACCGTAAACTATTGGTGTCACTAATTATTTCCCAATTGGAGGTTTCATTATCATAAGAAAACGACGTTACTGGAAACATTGTGTTTAGAATACCCTTTCCACTAGCTGGCACGCGCGCGAGGCGCGGACGCTTGGCAGTTCACTTAATAATATTACTTTAGCAAATATTTTGCACTAATTTTATCGAATACTTCGAAGAAACGTGTGTAACTTATGTCGACCGACGTTGAGCTTTTGTTCCCTGGATATAAAATTGTACACGGAAGAGAACGCGCGCTAAACGAGCGCTCAATTGATCTAATGTATAGTTGCCTCTAATGTAAAGCTATCGATCCTAATCGAATCCGTACAAGATTAAACAACAGAAAAACACTATTCGAAATGAAACGTCTGTACAAAAATAATTATTGAGTAAAAAATTTCAATAAGACAAAGAAGTTAAAAAGAAAACCCTGTCGATAGAGACTACGAAAGTACGCGGGCGGTAAAAAAATATCTAAATCACTACGCAAACAGCTAACACTTTGGTAAGTCATACCGGCTTGAAAAATAAAATAAAAATAATATACTACACGATACATCGCACAACAATAGTAATAATTACATCTGCAATAAGTCACTTGTGACACTATAAGTATTAATAACCGTAGAAGACATACAGGAGGACAGCGGAGGGCGGGAGGGAGCGGAGAGCGGAGAATGGAGGAGGTCGGGGGAGGGGGAGTGGGGGAGTATGAAGGGGAGACTACTCTGGGCGGCGCCTAAAGCGGCCGCGTATTAAAATCATTCCAAAATACTAGCACTATATTATCAAGTACGATAGTAACTAGGTTAGTTCTCATAAAAGACTTCTTTAAACATACTTTGATTAAAAATGACTAAATGTTTAATTGATTATATATTACAGTTAAGAGTTTCGTACAAATGAAATTGTGTGTATAAATATAATATATGGGATAGGAAATAATTTGAAAAACATATAAAATAGGTAGTAACAAAATAATGTCGTTTATAAACTGGCAATACCCACAAGTAAGAGACTACTGTATAATGGGCACTACACTATAGAAAATGAGGTTTAAAATGGAGTGTGAGATCACGGAAGAATGATACATTTGAAAGACGACAATGGAAGAAATCTTATACATGCGAGTAAAGATGAGAGTGAGATGCCCTAACAAGACTAAAACTCAGGGATGGCAATAAAAACCATCATGTATCCCAAATTGGACCTTTGTAAGATTTCAATTGTTTATTCATAGTTCCCCGGCTTATCTAATTTCTTTTTTTTTTATAAATTTTCTAAATGTTTAATATAACATTCGATATTCATACAAATAGTGGTAACTTCCGCTCCGGAAACATTTTCGTTGTGTTATAAGAAGTATTACAAATGCAATAAAACTAATACATCTGGTGTTCAAAAAGTTTTACATTTATTTTAACTAATATACTTTCAATGTATATATAATACTTTTTATAATACAAAGATGCAACAAACAAGTCACCACCCTATCATTTGATTGACTATAACAACTATTCATAAGCCAGATCTACCCCGAGGGGTGACGCACCCCTGACAACAATAACTTGTCTATTCAAGCAACTTACAAGCCATACCATATAATTAATTTACCTAAGTACTGCCTCTAAGATTTCTATACGCTTTTCTATGACTATTATTTGAAACAAAATCCAGATGTAGCTCCACTGTAAAAACGTTACAAACTTACTTTTTTTTTAAATATGCGAGTTTCCTCAATAGAAACTTATAAAATTCTCAATTTCTCAATATCAATCTCATTTTAGCTACAAAAGTAACTGATCTCGAAGAGAAATATGTATCATACTTATTTGATGTTGTACTTTTAATTCATTCAATGGACTTCATTTATATCTTTAACAACTGCAAGATATGTCATGGGTTTGTTATTGGTAATACAACCCTAATATATGAAATAATTTATTTAAAAGAATAAAATTATCTAAATCAAACATGATTTCATATTATAAATATAAAAAAAAATGTATAAAAATAAGCAATACTCTTAATGATTACTTTTTATGTAAAAAAATTATATAAATATATTGTAATTACATCACAAAATCAGATTGATATATAAAAATCATGCAAAGATCATTTTATCCAATAACATACCGACAACATTCTTCTCAACAACTCCAATAAATAATTTAATTACTATAATGGTAACCAACACTAGGCGCTTACGGCTTCCACAGACCACTTATCACATCACTACACACATTATAAAACCCCGCACTGGTGACAGCTTCCATTTGTTTCATAAAAACACCGTTTGTCTTCACGCGTAGGAACAATTTAGCTTGTTTTCTCTTAACAAAGACACTAGGTTCCATGGTGTGGGAGATGTTTAACCGAGGGCTGCAGCGGTGTGGTACAGCTGCATGAGCACCTGCACGTGCAGCGGTAGGCACGAGATTCGGTCGTGCGTCGTGCCGTCCAGCGCGAGCCATGACAGCGCGTTGTAGCCTTCTAAAACGTATCTGAAATAAATTATTTATTTAGAATAATGATTGAAAATTATAATATATTATGCTGGAAAATACGAAAGTAATCAACTATTTTTTATTGATGTAAAGCTAGCACGCGAAAGGAGTCGCGTTTAAAAACTAATTAAAAGTATATATATTGTTGTTGTTGAATACCATCTATCTGTCTGTTTAAATATAATACTAGACTGAACTCGGATCTCTTTTGCAGAATACATCTCTAAGAAAACTGTTTAAGTAATGCTTTAACTACCTATAGATATTATAGTGCAGTGCGTGTCCGCGCAAATAAAAGTGCACTCTCTAATACAGGATAAGACACTCGCGGTAAGAGACCAGACGTAGCACCTATAAGATAGCTGTCTCGGTTCGGAGGTGTAACACTACCAACTTTCCAACTCCAGGTCGCCACGTACTATTTTCTGATACAGATCATTAAACCGCACTTGTCCAAACGCGTCACTCGAATCTAGGACCTCTGTACCAACTACCTTAACAGCAGCAATAGTGAAGTGGCACGCGTACCTGAGCACATCAGTGGTGGTGGTGGAGTCGAGCGGGTGCGCGTTGTGGTCGCGCCGCTGCGTGAGGGAGGTGTAGTCGTCGTGCGGCGCCACCGCGCACTGCAGGTGCAGCGCGTTCTTGAGGAATGCGGGGCAGGCGTCGCGCAGGTGCCAGCAGCTCGCCCACCACCAGCCCGGCATGGCGCCCAGAGGCGCCGTCGACACCAGGTAGCCCAGCGCCAGCGGCTGCTGCAGCACGGTGCCCACTTGCTCCTGGAATATAAGGGCATCGAAAATTGACAATAGTTATCTTTGTCATAAATATTATCTATACATATACTAAAATTGTAACTAAGCTGAATTTGTACATTAAATATTTTTTGAAAAATCTTATTGAAATAGACATTATAATCGATATAGAGGCCGAATCTATAGTTTTCAGAATTTTTGTCTGTCTGTTACCGCATCACGGAAAACCCACAGGAGGGATTTTCATGATATTTGATATGGTGATAGCTGGTTATCCGGGTCAATATATAGAATACTTTTTACCGCGGAAAAATATCTAATTTCTGAGAAAAAATACAAAAACTGCATTGTAAGAGTATACTATATGTAAAACCTAAGAATTTGGTTTTTGGTAATCTGTGCCACAAGACATGTGTAAAAAAATATACAAACATGAAATGTCCATTAAAGTAAATTTCAATTATTAGCGAGAAAAAAAAATTATTTAGCTCTTCATAACCCCTTCTTCTATAGTTTATAAATACTAAAAATAATTTTCAAAATTTGACTGGTAACCTCTCACATCATTCTATAAAAATATTGAATCATCTTGAATATTCTATTTGAAATAAAAAACAAAAAGATAATTACTTATTTTAAGAAAAACACAAAAACACACTTCACTAGCATAAAAAATATTACATACCGGTTGATTATCATCGTCTCTCGGATACGCTCCGGCAGCCGCCAAATGCGCGTGTCGCGCCGGACTTCCCTCGCGGCTCGCCTCGTCGTCGTGCCGCCGCGGCGACGCGCGGGGGCTCCCCGCCGGCCACATGAACATGTCGCCCATTAACAGGTCCATGTTCATGTTCTCCTCGCCGATGTCCTCTTCCATACCAATATCGCCTAGCCCGAGTAGCATGTCATTCTCTTCACCATTCGCGTTTGGTGGATCGAATGGCATCTGGTTTGACTGTAAAATGATGCATAATATTTGATATATTGGAGTTACAACAAGCCAAAATTGAGACAGAAACATACACATCACTGTTTGTGTTTTATTTGAATAACATTTTATGTATATAAATGTTGGTTTTATTTAGGCATTATATTTATAACAAGGTATGTATGTATGAAAAATAAATGAAAATGATTATTATATTGTTTTAAATTAGGTATAAATATATAATAAATAGGGTAAAATAAGCAATAGTTTTACCTGTGTAGTAGCAGAGGTGGGAAATACGAGTATATGCGTGGCGGTGACGTCCCTGGGGGTGTGCAGGTGCGACTGTATGGAGGCCTGCGAGAACCTCTCGTCGGGCGTGAAGCGGTCCGCCATGAGGCGCAGGCACGAGTCGGGCTCGGTGGACACGAGGCAGGCGGACAGGATGCAGGGCGCGCCCGTGGGGTACAGCAGCGAGCAGCTGCTGCACATCTCGCGCAACATGTTCGATGCTCGGTTGAGGTTCGGCCGTGATAGTAACCAGCTCCATCCTGAATCATTTCAAATATATTATGTATAGTAGTCTATGTAGTAAAGCAATAACGTTTACTACTACGTTACATAAGCAGAAGTACTTTAATAATATACTGTTAATATTAAATATTGCTATAAAGGAATAAAAACTAAATAATTTATACCTTTAAGTTCTCCATGGCCTATCCTGCCCACGCGACCCACAACGAGACGCCACGGCTGCGCCGACTGCGACATTACACCAAGAGTGAAGTCCATAAGTTTGGTAAGGCCTAGCCGCCGCGCCGGACCACCTCTCTTCCGCCTTGATCTATTTTTTTTAATACATTAGTATTTAGTACTATACCTACGTGATACATTTGATAATAAAATTTGAAATTAATAATTTAATCATGGGTAATAAAAGTACGAAAATATCCCAAAAACAAATTAATAATAACATGATGTAACCATGTTCATGATCATATTATGTTTATAGACTACGAGCGACTCACCCTCGCTTCGCTCGGGTTCGTTCTTAGCTTGCTTCCCAATACAGACTTCGATCCCCATTTTCACTCCCTTGAGGGATGATTTCCGGGATAAAAAGTATCCTATGTCCTTCCCAGGGTCACTAACTATCTTCTTACTAAATTTCATCTAAATCGATTCAGTAGATCCAAAGATTAACCCCACAACGTCACAAGCTTACATACTTTACCTCTTTATAATATTAGTATAGATTGACTATTGTAAGTAACTATAGTCCAATCGCGTTAAGAAAATAGTGACTCATCAAGTGCAACGGCAGGTGAAGGTGTATATACAAAGTGGAAGTAAAAATTCAATTCAAATTCAATATTTCAAAAGATTAAGTTTAATGGATAAAAATCAATTTATTTATCTTACTTATCTCAAAACTTGATTTAATAAATTTAATAAATTATCTTAAATTAAAATAAAGTTATCATATAGTGATGATGACTTTATTTTGATTCGAGACAAGTAATAAACTTAATTATCTTAAATCGAAATAAAGTTATCATATAGTGATAATGACTTTATTTTAATTTGAGACAATTAATAAACTTAATTATCTTAAATCGAAATAAAGTCAACATATAATGATAATGACTTTATTTTGATTTGAGATAATTAATACATTAATTATCTTAAATCAAAATAAAGTTATCATAAAGTGATTATGACTTTATTTTGATTTGAGACAATCAATAAACTTAGTTATCTTAAATCGAAATAAAGTCAACATATAATGATAATGACTTTATTTTGATTTGAGATAATTAATACATTAATTATCTTAAATCAAAATAAAGTTATCATAAAGTGATTATGACTTTATTTTGATTTGAGACAATCAATAAACTTAGTTATCTTAAATCGAAATAAAGTCAACATATAATGATAATGACTTTATTTTGATTTGAGATAATTAATACATTAATTATCTTAAATCCAAATAAAGTTATCATATAGTGATTATGACTTTATTTTGATTTGAGACAATTAATAAACTTAATTCTCTTAAATCGAAATAAAGTCAACATATAATGATAATGACTTTATTTTGATTTGAGATAATTATGTTCATTAATTATCTCAAATCAAAATAAAGTCAATATTATATTTAAGTCTGCCTTCAACTGGTCATTGTGAAATACGACTATATAATTTTATGCTATCTAATTGGCCGGGGGGCGTGGCCAGGCCGGTGGACACAGATGACTCACTATTTTCTCAACGCGAATGAACTATAATACATTATTCGATTTGTTGCAGGAGGTATAGGTTGCAGGAGGTATAGGCCATAGCAGGGCAGCATTTGCACACAAAGACAACTAATAGCAAATTTTTAGTCTTAAGGATTTTATTTTATTTACTTGCTGTGCTAACGGTCGCGGGTTCGAGTTCCGCTGGAGACATTCATTTGTATGATGAGGACGAATGTTTGTACTCCAGTCATGGGTGTTTATAATCATAATATGTATGTACTTAAAGTTATATATGTGTAGTGTATCAACTATTTGGTATATATCCATAACACAAGCCTCGTAGCTTACCATGGAACTAGATGGTTCAGTGTGTTAATGTCCCAACATAATTATTAGTAATAGTAACCTGGCCGGCACGTGTATGTTGATGGCGGCGGTGTCGAGCAGCTCGCCGCGCGCGTCGGTGGCGGCGGCGAGCAGCCAGCGCTGGTCATGCGACAGGCAGTAGGCCAGGAACAGCACGGCGCTCTGCTCGCCGCACGCCGTGCCCCACGTCTCCGCCACCTCCTTGAGCGCGCGCGGCGGCGCCAGCACCCACGCTGGCGAGAACAGCTTGTACGGCGCTCGGTTCTTCTCCTGCCATGGTCACATATTGTATTCATGGAATCAGATGGTTTGTACTTAATCTTATCGTTTTGTATTTGTGTTTTGTATATTGTTTAATTAAATGATGTTTTTACTTAAAAAGTACACTGTTTTTTGTATTCCATGTAAATATCATATAAATATTTCTCGTCATATTATGACATTCTCTAGGCCATATTAATCTTTTGTTATATAAAAAGATATAATAAGCAATCAACACATTCAAAGTTACAAGATTTAGTAAAGATTCTATTTAAGACGTATTTTCTATATAAACAAAATGTATATATAATAACATATGTACACGCGCTAACACTCACGTCTTTATTGCTAAGGAAGAGGTTGGCGGCGGCGGCGGTACCGAAGCCCGTGAGCGACTTGCCGGCGGGCGAGTGCGTGAGCAGGCGGCGCGCGCCGCTGAACACGCTGAAGGCCAGCGCGCGCACCTCCGAGCCGCCGCCGCCGCTGTTGCTGCTGCCCAGCGCGCCCCACGTCTCGCACACGCCCTCCAGCGATATGATCTGATCATGTCATTAGTGTTATATATACTGTTTATAGACAAACGTACTTTCTGTTTATGGTATATTGGTAAATAATGCAGAGATTATGTATGCAATTCACATCACATTTTCATTTGCCAAAGTTATTATTTAATGTATGTTGAACATACTTTACATATCGACATTTCCGGCAGTATACATTCTTTTTCCTTGACGATGAGATATTTTATGACAGTAAAATGAATCCTACATGCTTATACCCAGCTAGATACCCAGATATCAGTTATCACCAATACCAAATTTCGTCAAAATCCGTCCAGTAGTTTTTGCATGATGCGATAACAGATGCAAGAGAGAGAAACAAAAAAAAATCAAAACTGGATTTGGAGTTTGTATCCATAAAAAAATAAGATTTTCTTTTCAAAACATGTTTGATGTATACATACATGTTTCAATTATAGTTTTATGAATAAATTATAAGTATAGCTCACCTTAACCAGAGGATTGTGATGGTGCAGATGCCGATGCGCCTGCGCGGCCAGCCGCAGCAGCGCGGCGAGCGCGCGCGGGCGGTGCGCGTGCGACGCGGGCGGCTCCACCACGTACAGCACCAGCGCCGGCGCGCCCGCCTCGTCCTCCTCCCACGAGCTGTCCGCGTCGTGCTGCTCGCCCCCCGCGCCGCCGCGCCCGCGCCCGCGCCCGCGCCGCCCGGCGTGTCCGGCCGCTCGGGCGCCGCCGGCGGACGCATTGAACCTGAGTTGTTCGCTGTAGTAACGAATACTATTAATATCCATTTCATATAATTACTCCTACGCATCATCTATTGTTGATTTCTTCTTTTGTATATTTCTTTGTGGTGTACAACAACAAAAGTGTCTATATCTATCTATCCATAATCTTTATACTTGTGCTATTTTGAAGTCGATTCGTCAAATATATGTTTATTAAATGAGTATAGATTATGAGTTAACTAAATTAAAAGATATTTTTCTTTTAAATTAATTGATAGCAAACACTCTGGTGGATTTTTAAAATGGACAACCACTTCATGGCATAATCCTGTCAACGATAAACGATAAATAAACACGCTAAACGTATTAAATAATTTTTAATTTGATTTTTTTTGTGATTAATATAACCACGATGTAATTAGACATTTATAAGTACGAATAATACTTTATATGTGCTCAAGTTCCTAGTTACACAGATACAATGTTTAAAAAAAATGTTGTCCATTTTAATTATGCACTCAGTGCCTTAATTGAAACTTACATTCAAATAGTGTCCGGTCGACGTTCAGCGCAGATAGTTGAGGCACCAGGTTGGACCGCAACGTTTCCGCGTATGCCTTAACATATTCGCCTAATCTGCCGGGAGGTACTTCACCCAACCATTCTTCATAATTCGCATCTCTAAAAATGATAAAATTAATTTTTAATTAACAATTACATTAACATTTTATGTTATTTATTGAATAGCAAGTATTATTAACACAAAACGTTTTACATACCGATCGCTATCACTAGGCGCCGTCCGAACAATACCATCCCGCGCTATCCTTGATATAGGTTGGTGCCGTCCTAGTCTGCACGCTTCGTACGCCGCAGACAGTTCTCTAAAGAAGGTCTTCAAGGGATCAGAGAGGGAGTCCCCATCCGCCGCTAGCACTACGTACGCTACATCGCGCGCGTAGGAGTAGGGCTCCAGGGAGAGCCGCTCCCAGTGCCTTAGGGCATAGGGTGATAGGGATATCCAGTCGCGGTCGTGTCCGACCAGCAGGGGCGGCACCGGCTGCGGCTCGCAGAGGTCCTCGTTGCCGCGGCCGGCGAGGCGGTGGAACTGGCGCCACGTGAGCGGGCCCGTCACGCCGTCCCACATGCGAGCCCCGCAGCAACGCTTCTGTATCGCGTCTTGGAGTAGGGGCCGCAGGCGTCGCATTAATCTGTACGAATAGACAAATTTTGGTTTTCAAAAGTAAATTCATTTTATGTAATATATGCCACGCTAACATCACATCGGGCATATAAAAATGTACATCTTGGTGTGTCATTTATAATCTGAATACTATTATATATGTAAAAGTGTAGTGACTGGACAAAAGTGAATAAAATACACAGATAGACTATGACTTGGAGTAGCACATCGATTACTGTTAGCCTCCTAAGTCAGTAAGTGTTAAATATTAAAGAATCATGTAAAATAATCTATAAGAAAATTACTCTTAATAAATCAACGTCGGACTAATAGTAATTAATAGCCCTTATACATATCTATAGTTATACAATATGATGATGTTCTCCTGACCGATTCCGGCCACGGCGGCCAATCTCATTGAGACTAGCCAACTGCGCAGGAGATATTATAGTGCTCAAGTGTACGCGCAGACACAAGTGCACTCTCTATTCCTGTCACTCTCATACTCCGGTGGGACGACTGCTCGACACGACCAGTGAGAGTTAAGGCGCAGGACCGACGGCTTTACGTGCTCTCCGAGGCACGGGGGTGAAACACCGCCAACTTCCCAACTCCGGGCTATTACTGAGGCTTACTATACAGCAAGACTCAGTAACTAAACTTGGCCCGACCCGGGACTCGAACCCAGGACCTCCGGGTGTGCAGCCGTACATGCTAGCCACTACACCACTGAGGCAGTTATACAATATACACACCTAACAACGTCCCGCGAGGAGCGCGGCGCGCGCGCGCCTATGAAGGGCCAGCGGTGCACGGCGCCGCTGCCGGTGGTGCTGGCGGGCACCGGCAGCGCCGCCGCGCCGCCCGCCGCCGCGCTCAGCGCCCGCGCAGCCGCCGCGCTGCCGTCTGAGTACCTGATGTTGAAATATATTTTAGTAATTTGTCCATCTTTAATATGAACTCGATTTGTGTGTATACATACAAAAAAAAATGAGTTTCCATAGATGGATTTTAATATTACTCTAAATCTAAAAACAATTGCTAATGAATCAGGAACAAAGAATATAGATTCTAGTTTTAGATTTTTTGTATACAACTGTTTTTACCTGAATAAATAAATAAAAAAATATATACAGTGATTTAAATACGTAAATACGTTGGGACATTAACACACAGCACCATCTAGTAAACTACGAGGTAAGCTACGAGGCTTGTGTTATGGATCCTAGATACACTACACATATATAACTTTAAATACATACATATTATAAATATAAACACCCATGACTGGAGTACAAACCTTTGTCATTACACAAATGAATGACCCCAGCGGGACTCGAACCCGCGACCGCCGGCACAGAAAGTAGGGCCACTACAAACTGAGCCAAACGTGTCGTCAATTTAGAATATACAAACCTTTAAAAATTTAAAATTAATAATTAAATACTGGTATTTTAGTGGGAAAAAGCAGGGTAATGTATTTTTTATAAAAAAATAACAAAATTAGGCGATCACATCATGTCCAAAATGTGCTATCTAGTGAACTAGAAAATTATTTATAATATAATATTAATATAAACTTAAGCTTAACCCAAATAGTATTATTCTCTGAAAAAACATCAAAAACTACACTAACTCTAACAAATTAAGCCTCAGATGGTCGGGCACGTCGCTGCCGGCCGCCCGGCGCGCAGCGCGGGCCAGCGCGGAGGCGGCGCCGCCGGCGGGCGCCGCGCACTGCGCCACCACCACGCCCGCCACGTCGCCCAGCGCGCTGCCCGCGCCCCCCGCGCCGCCCGCGCCCCGCCCCCCGGGCTCCTCCGCTATACCCGTTATTTCCATTTCATCCTACGGAAAGACATGCATATTGATATCAATATATTATATGAGTATTTATAATATTTTTAAAGTGATAAATTTGTGTCACACAAGATTAAAAAAAATAATTACAACATAATTTAGTAGTCAGATAAAAAAATATAATCTCATCACAATCAATGAAATATTCATTGTTATCTTTTATTTTGAAACAAATTTATCTGCAATGTTTTTAACCTTGATAGTCATAGTGTGTAAAAATGTTGTATTGATAAAATTTTCATTCTTTTCAATGTTTTATATTGTTTAATGTTTACATTTTGATGCAGATATTTGTTTTGGTATGATTAAAATAAAAGCACCAACTACTCCTATACCTACGAGTAGTGCTTATTATCAGCATTCATTACAATTTAATATTTATAATACTTTATAACAAACTGAAGCCTGTTAAAAAGAGAATCAATGAATAATAGATTTATAGAAAAAAAAACATATGCCACTAAAGCCAATCAAACAGTATATTACCTCGTAGAACAAGCCAGCGCGATGCGCCAGGCGTCGGTTGACGATGGCGCTGAAGCCGCAGGAGCAGTGCGAGGGCTCGTCGTCGGCCGAGCCGCCCCAGTCGCCGCCCGGCAGGTACGTGGCCGCGTCCGCGCCGCGGATGTTACCCACCATCTGTACACATTAATATTTAATAATTTTATAATTAATTTCACAATTCTTCATTTAGTAAATCATAATGGAAAAACAAAAGAAATGTAAATAATATAATTGTAGTCGAGACATTCTCTAGATACTCGCGAAGATCCATAAATCTCGCATATTGTTTAGAATAATCCAATTTTAATAAAAATATATTTAAAATGAAATATATTCATAAAACACAAACTGACCCTCGCTCCCGCGTTGCACACACACAGCGTGCAGCTATCAAAGTTGTGATCCCTGAACACGTTGAGCACGGTGTCGGCCAGCAGCACGTTGAGCAGCAGCGGGCAGGCGGGGGCGGGCGCGCGTGGCGAGGGCGGCGCCGTGCACGCGCCCGCCGCCCCCGGGGGCGCGCCGCCCGCCCGCCGCGGCGACCGCGATTCCGCCGCGCGCTCCGTGCTCGATATCGAACGCTTCACGCCCGTCGTGCTAGTCGTGCTCGTCGCGGTGGCTCTTTCCGTTCGTTCTGAAAAAGATAAATAAATATGATAATTATGAAATCAAAAGAAAATTAAAATATACATAAGTAAAATTTTAATTACGAAATGAGTGCTGGCTCTGGTGCTGAGTGTAAATGCAATATATGACTTCTAATAAATAACATAACGATTAGATTAATTGCTTAGATTTTACTATATGAAGAATAGAAATTTTACAACAACGGTATTATTATTAAATCTGGACGTAAATGTATCTGCACTAAAATAAACACCAGCTTTCATATAATAGTACAATAAAAGCAGTAAAACAACAGGGATACGGCAAACGGTGCCGGTACGTACCGTTGGTGTTGGCGCTGTCGGTCCGGTGCGGCTGCGCGAGCTCCTCGGCGTCGGGCTTGCCGCGCGCCTGCTGCCAGCGCGGGCGGTACACGGCGTGCGCGGGCAGCGACACGGGCGGCAGCAGCTGGCTGGGCAGCGCGCTCAGCGGCGCGTACTTCGACGAGCCCACGTACTTGCATATCGTGGGCGGTTTGAACACATACGACCAGTCCTGCATACAACATTGTTCATTTTATATACTAGCTGACCTAACAGACGTTGTCTTGTTCAAATTTCAATATTTATTTTATCTATTAATTCACGCAAAAAATCTTATAAAAAATCTTGTACATTATTTTTCCTGAATTTTATATTTTTTGAGCGACCTTATACATTTTAAGGTTTTAAACCTTTTTCGAACTATTATTATGAATACACACTATATAAAAATAATCAAACTATATTTCACGCTGTAACCGCTACAACGATTTTACGACAAACTAGGTAATATAAATGTATGTAGATCGGAGGAATACCTCGATGGGGTCGGGCGGCGGCGAGCCGTGCGCGCGGTGCGCGTGCGCGTGCAGGTGCGCGTGGTGGTGCGCGTCGTCGGGCGGCGAGAAGCCGGGCGAGGGCTGCGCGTGCGCCTCCATGCTGGGCGGCGTCGGGAACATCTTGCTGAGCTCCTCCGCGCGCACGCAGCGCCCGCCCACGCACCGCGTCTCCTCCGTCGACTTGTTCGAGTCAGGCGGCGTTTGTACTTGTAACTGCATCAGTAACACGGTACAAACGTCAGTACTACTACTCGATATCACATATACGAACAACTACGACAATCTACTTTAAACTATACATATACATATGTGTACTTTAAGAAATAAGATGAAGAACAAATAGCATTGTTAGAATCATTCTTAGCTTATCGTTTACTTTTGTCTATTTCCTGTAGTTGTAGCGACATCAACCGCTACCGCTTGTTGATTGGTGTTTTAGCATCATTTTGTAGTACCTTACACTGATTTTTTAACAAAATAAAGGAAAAGTTTTATCAATATCACAAACAATTTAGATATCATTTTTAATTATTTCATGTGTAAGTAGTCATGCAAACTATAGTAAGAAAGATAATAAGAAGGGTACACTCACAAGTCTTACCGTCTCATCGCCGCTGGCGGCGTCGTCCGAGTTATCGAATATCTGATCCAAATCTTTCAACGTCGGACACAAACCATCTGACGTGAACAGGTTCTTGTACTCTTTCACATCCTCCTTTAAAAATAATATAAATACTTTGAATCTTTTACTCGGACCATTCGGAACACCGAACACACAGAAAATACCCTGCTACTTATATTTGATACATTGAAACAAGTGAGTCAGATGATGATCTCACATTAGCAAAAAATATATCACTAAGCTAGTGAATATATAAATTTAAATTTATTATAATACACCTAAAGGGGTGAAAAGTAATTTTCTAATTACTTCATTTTACAATGAAAACGGGAATAATTTAGAGAACTTGTCTGTGTAGTGTCTTAGTATTATTGGGTTATTATAGCTAGTAATACTATAAATATATATAAATAGCACACAAGACCAACCTGATCCTGCTTCTCGTGCTTGATGTAGGGGTGCAGGTCGCGCGTGGGCGTGGCGGGCAGGCGCGTGTGGTCGTGGCCGGCGTACAGGTCGGGCGCGGCCGCGCTGCCCAGCGCCAGCTCCTCGCGGAACGCGCCCTCCGAGCTCTTGAACCGCTTCACGGGGTGCTCGAGCCTGCGGTTTGTATAATCATATTGTTAAACAATATACGTTTTTATTTTCTCCTATTATAATTTACCGCTTGGAACATATACATGCTATTCAAATATATAATATTCAAATACACAAACAAATTTTTACCGCACAACAATTCATATATTGTTGTGTGTGTGGTGCAATATGGCACTGTAATAATTCTTTATAATTTATTATTAATCTAACTCTCTAAACCGATAGTCTCAGAAATAAAATATTAGAAGGAGAATAAATAAATATTCACATTGATTTAATTACAGATTTAAGTATGATAAAGGAACATACCCATACTATGGGACCAATTGTTTTACATATTTTTATGCCAAGACCCATGAACAGGTCACGTAATATGAGTATGTTCAGTAACAATGGGAAAGAAAGAAAAAAAAAACATAAGATGTAACCACTATTAAACACAAACGATCAAAGCTTGAACGACGTTGATGCGCTTATTGGTATCTACTCTGGCGAGTTGATGATTCACATTGAATATACTTAGATTCCATGTGACCGTACTTGCTCGCTAGTTACGATGACAACATGGACATGAATGAATAGAAAATGCGAAAAAAAATTCCGATACATACAAATTATCAATTATTATTGATTATTATTGTATAAATCATCTTTGCGTGGAATTTTTTATAACATTTTCTTTAAAACTATAAAATAAAATATACAATATTATACATACATAATTGGAAATCATAAATATATTTTTTATAAAATAATTCAAGTGTCCTGAAATAATGAAACAAAGTTACAATACCTTATTGCCACATGAAGCAGGGGGGTAAATTCTATTATTATTTACAGGCACTAAAATTAGTTTGTAAAAATTTAAGAGAACTTTCGACAAGTAAAGTGATTTGTTGATTTCGATGAAATTTTATTATTCTGAATATATAAAATTCCCGTGTCACAATGTTTGTTCGGGATGAATTCCGAAAGTATTTATCTGATCTTAAGGTTTTTTTATATGTGTGATTTGTTCTAACTTAAAATATAGGATAACTTATAATCCCGATTACTTTCTTTTTTTTTTGCAAATTAAACTATTTAGGTTTATTAGTATGTTTAATATATTTCTCCAAAAAAGTGTTAGAATTTTTTATGGGACAATGTATCAATAGCAAAACAACGTGATAATTCGTCTTTTACATTTCAATATATTCATTGGCGGAGAATAGGTATTATGCCGCTAAGTCGCGGTACTAACATGTTTTAAGTAATCACTATTTAGTCTATGGATACCATCCAATCCAATCTTTTATTATATACTGTAAGTACAGATTAAAATCTCCAAAAACCTTAAACTAAATAGAATGCGACTAACGTTGTTTTGAAAACAACTACCGTGTGAACGTTAAATGATATTATCATTATCAACACTACAAACATTTATAGAGAAATACCTGTACCGAGTTGAAACATGTAATAAGATCCATGATATGCATATCTCAATATATATCCTATCAGTTACAATATCTTAGATCATATACGAAACCAGTTTCATATTACTTTACTGTATTTATGAATATACAATTTGTATGCAATTGAAATTTTTATTTTATAGTTTTTAGTATAGAGGAATATGTTATGTATATTTTATAACTTAAGGGAGATTGGTGTTAAAACGATTTTATTATTAATTACATTTGTAATTGTAATTACATATGTAATCAAATTTTAATCTACATCCAAACTGACGTAATTAATTTGAATGTATAGTAAGAAATTATATTTAATTTGAATATATTTAATATCTCGATAGTAATATAGCAATTTGATACCTTGAGCTGATTTTATTATTGAACCTGATGGTAGATAGGGACTGTTATAATGTTTACTAGTTAATATTACAGTTTGGTATCATTTGATAAGTATCATGCATTACACTTGGACGTAGTTATGCAAAATGGATATTAAACAAGGGTTTTTTTGGTAATATGATTGGTGATGTACGATGTGTGTATGTACAGGTGTAGTGCGAGCTCACCAAGCGTATACGGTGGTGTAGTCGTAGAGCATGTGCAGCTCGTGCTCGTCCTCGAGCGGGTCGAGGCGCTTCTCGGCGGCGGGCAGCGCGGGGCGCCGCAGCAGCTCGGCGCCCGGCGAGCCCGCGCCCGGCGCCGCGCCGCCGCCCGGGGACTCGCCCTGGCACACGGAACACACGTTAGGATTTTTTTATTAATAACTAACCCTAATTCTTCTTCTAAAATAAAAGTATCCTATCTTACTCCTTATAACATTAGCTATCTGCCCTTAAAAGTCCCGTCAAAATCAGTCCAGCTGTTTCGAAGATTAGCCGGAACAAACAGACAAAAACTTTAAAAATTGCTTTTTTCTTTTAAATTCCGTATATACTTTCCTAAGTATTTAGTAAGAAGGTGTTATTTTGACATTGCAAACAGGCACTTCAATTTTATTTATCTGTATAGATTACTCAGTCTTAATAAATTTTGCTATACTTTCATAAAATTCGTTCAATAGTTTATGCATGAAAGAGTAAACCTACACCCATGCACACTCACAAGATTTCACCTTCATAATATTAGATTAATACCTTCCTTCGCACTTTCGCATTAATAAGAAGTTATCGCTTTTATAGGAGAAAAAGATTTAAATTGAATATGAAATAGAACAAAAGCTGTATGAACGTGTCGTACCTGCGCATAGGGCTTGTGCGGCGGCGCGGAGGGCGGCGCGGGCGTGGGCGGCGCCAGCGGGTCGGGCGTGGGCGCCGGCGTGTGCAGCGTCGTGGGCACGCCGCTCACCTGCGAGTTGACACGCCGTAAAAATATATAAATAAATACAAAATAAAACATGTATAAAAATGAACCGTTGAACTTATGTATTTATTTTAACGTAAATATTAAAATAATTAATCAATAATTATCTTTGAATTAAAATAAAAAATTGAATTCCTTGACACAAGTTACTTTTACAATCATCATCATATATACATAATTAACTTTAATTTTTAATACTGCCAATTCTGATTTACATTAATCTCTCCTAGATGCATTACAATGATATGATAGTTGATACACAACAAAAACATCCCCAATACCTATTAATACAAATAAATATATTTTTAATTTTTATAATTTTTATTGTAATCTTAATATTTTAATGAATTATTTTTTAACTCAAATATATTTATTTTTTAGTAATTGGTTGTTTTGTCTGGTGTAATAATTTTTCATTGCATGTATCTATTATTATCTATGATATGCATACGTGTTTCTTTGCAATGCGTGTAACACCTATTATAATTAAGATAACAGACTTTAGTCTCCTTGTAGACATGCTCTTAATTCTGTGCTTTAGTTAACGTATATCTTGTTGGTGTTAGTAATAAATACCTGATGAGCTGCCAAATTGGTGAGCGTCGAGAGCGCAGTGTGCGCGTGGTGCGGCGAGGGCGCGCCCGCCGGCGACGCGGCGCCGCAGCTGCCGGGCGAGCACGCGCCGCCGCCGCCCGCGCACCCCGCGCCGCAACCGCTCGCCCTGCCACAAACAATCACTCGTTATATTTACCGAGTTCATATATACGTATGGTGTATTATCACAGTATAAAAATCCATACAGTTGGCGATTGCCCATCGATTTTAACGGAAAGTCGAAGGAATAATTGTCAAATGCAAAGGTTGTCAAAAACGCCAATTTTAATGAAGAACGACTTCGAAATCAAAGCACTGTATTACCAGCTAGACGTTACAGTAATCGGGTATAAGTAAGTTATAGTTATCAACCCTACAGCCGTTACCCAACTGTCATATAAAAGTATGAAAGTCGAACCACTGACGCCCCAAACGATCACCTTGTGTATACGCCTTTGTTAGACGTCTGTATGGATTAGTAGACTGTGATATTATCATCGTGTTGTATGGTCATCCTGTGAGGTTATAATCAATGGGTATAATAGAATCTTATGAAATTTGAACATAATTGAATAACATTATAAACATAACCCCAATAGATTACAAGAAATAAAATCATAAAATTAAAAAAAAAACTTCATTCGATCCATTAAACAATCGACTTTAAACCTCAAAAATGCCCAATAACAAAACACTCCCTCCCATCAATGAATGATATCAGCTTTCGTATCATGAGATGAATCGAGCGAGTCAGTATTTAGATGAGGTAGATGTTATTATGTATGACGTAATGGACCTTCGCTGTATAATGTGTCATCACTACTTATAACTTTAAAGCTGACATAATATATAAATATATTTTATTATAAAAAAAAACTATTCACGGCGGGTTTTAATAGATAATTTAAGGCTTAAAAGTACAAAAAGAAACAAAAACTATTATACAAAATTCATAAATGATTATCTGCTATTTTATGGTAATAAAGCATTTTTAACACGCTTTTATTATTTACGCCATACATATGTACATATGTACGTACTAGAGTCGTAGAGTTATTTACAAATCGTAAAGTAACAAGCAGTGATCACTTTAAATATTTTAAATGTGAAGGACAATTCTTTAAAAAATTATATTCAACATTATACTTACTAATTAATTTAATTTACGCTTTGAATGTAACCTTTTTATAACAACGTCAGAATGTATGAAATGTCCTTAAGGACATTAAGAAATTTTTATCTTGATCAAAATGTACAGTCAGAGGTTAATACCTACAAAATAAATTATAATAAAATATATAACTAATGTATTATTAATGAATTATCACAAAGACACAAAACATGCAATATTTCATATACAAATTGCGCATGCGGTATAAGTCTACGAGGCGGTACATATTATCAAGGCAGACATGCAGAGAACAGCATTGCATTATTTGTGTTCGCTGTGGAACATGTTAGTTGGGCATTTGATGATAGAGACAGAACTTAAAAGTATTAATAAAACAATGATTTAACATTTCTGCGACCACTAACCTTACTAGTCGATGAATACAACGGCATTTCCCCTGTGCCAATTCCTTAGGACATTTGTCTTGGTCGTAGGTTAATATAAAAAAAATATCGTACTCACCAAAACCGGAAGCGTCTGGATGATATTATCCGACATGTTTATTTTATCATTCCAACAAACATATTACATAGTCAACATATTCCATCATCGACGTCGATCGTTTCAATCGAAACCTTCATTGTGCACGTGGTCGCCGGTCGGTGGTGGTCATCGATCAAAAACGAACTAGATACACAATCCCATGCAAAAGTTCTCTTAAAACTGTCCAAAATACCAATTGAGTTTAGGTAATTATTCTAGTTGAGATAAATATACAACAATTTAATATGAACTTTAAACGCAATGCTTAGTCGTTTTCACAAAAAAATTAAAAGCGCGCTCAAATGTTCAAATGGGTCATTTTTTGTCACTAATTGTGTATCTAGTACATGTTCGATCGACGGTGGTCGGGTGGTCGTGTGGTGGTGGCGGTGTACTCACGCGTGGCGGTGGTGGTGGTCGCGGCGGCGCGCGGCGGGCGCGCGGCGGTGGAAGGGCGGCGGGCGCGGGCGCGGCGCGCGGCGGCGCCGCCACCTGCACAACACAAGGCTAGGGTGCGCCCGCGCCGACTGCTCGCGCCGCGCGCGCTCTGTCACACTCGCGCCTACCTCTACGCGCCTAGCTACACCGCGCCATTTGCCAACTTTCGTTCGCTGCTCATTTAGCGTTCGATATGCGCTAACGTATTTTCTGCTTTGATTTCAGCGATAACGTATTGAATGTTCAAATATTTGTTTGTTGAACATTCCAGTTACCATGCTAAACTTACAGTAAAAAAAAAACTTATAATTTATATGATCATTCTCATACAAATTGTTTAACAAAATTTGTTACTTCATTCATATATTTATATTAAACAGTAAATTAGCACTCATAGATAAATAACCATGCAAATACTTTTAAATTATATAAATATAAATAACCAAAGCAAAAATTACGTTCATTATATAATAAGTATCAGCAGTACATAAACAAGAAACTGCGTACAACCCAACCTCTACGTAAGCAATATATAACGTAATAAGTTACGGACGCATCGAGTGTGACAGAAGCCTGTACGCGTTGGACACGTTGACTGAGATGTTAACACACAACAAACAGTAATTTGGAAAAATGGAAACAAACTGTTATAGAGAAGAACTCAAAAATAATGGGGAAGCGGGCATCGAACCCGCACTGAAACGTTTCCACAAACGCTTATTCAGTTTTTTAATATGGTTGTGAAAGTTAATAAAAGTTTTTGTTAATAAAAACGAGTACATCAACATCTCAGCCATGCTATTTATAAGTGACACAACGAACATGTCTTATAAAATGTCCGTTTGTTTGCAAAGCTTATACCCTTAAAGTACTAAAATTCAATAATAAATTACTAGAAAACTAAACTCATTCTATATAATAGATAAAACATTCACATACATAACATCTACCTATCTACAAATCTACACCCGAATGCTCAATGTCTAAGAAACAAATCGTCGACAACATTTTAAGCTTTATCTCAACACAATAAAGTATATATTAGAATGTTATCGACAGAGTTAAGTAAAACTTTGCATTTTCATGTAAACACTACATAGAATATAATAATAATAAAGGCATAAAACGTTCGAACATCTACGTCTATTGCGATTAACTACTGCATACATAATATAATATATTGTAAGTGAGAAATATGCTATATGCTCCAACGCTCAGTGGTCGAGTAAAGCGGCAATTATCGTCTCATGTGACACAGCCAATTGTTTGTAATGAGGATATTATGTAAAAAACATTAAAATGCAAACGAGTTCTTTAATACTTGTCTATTCTAGTCGCGTCTGGCATAACTTCATCTAATATATGCTGTGATGGATACATGGTTTTGAGAGGAAACAATAGATAACGAAATTTTAAGTTTGTTCTATAAATTACTAAGAATTACATTATATTTTTAATTAAAAATGAATCATGTATATGAGACAGATTGTTTCTATAGTTGGGTCTGCACAATGCACATTCCTCTCTCACAAGCGAGGGTATAGGGAGCAAAGGCCCGGCCGGCGGCGGTACTCACTTGGCGCAGACGCAGGGCGTCTTCCGCGTGGGGTCCGCGAAGTCGTCGTGCACGTCGCCCGAGCACTCCGCGTAGCACACCTCAGCCGTCTAGAAAGATTGTTATATTATAAATAAATTATTACTATTTTCATTATTCATAATTCTCTTTAGAATAAAATAGAAGTTTGTTAGAAAATTATTTATTATAATTACGAAATGTTTCTATGTAAAAATCTTAAACAAATTACATTTCACTAATTTTCTTTTAATATTGGAAGATAACTCAAAACTTTCTATGTATAAAAAAAAGTTTTGTTTCCCACTTCCATATATAAATAAAAAAATGGACGATAAATGATGATGATCTATAAATAAGATTGTGTGATTTTTATCTATACTAATATTATAAAGATTCATGAACACATGATATAGAAAATAAATTTCATATAATAAAACAAATAGTACTAAAGTACTGTCCTTGATTTACATGAAGACATTTTATTGAAAGCAAATATAGTGTAGATATTTAAAAAAATATTGCACGTTTTGAAGAGTCAGGACAAGAATTACCTTTCGACGAAGCACCACTCAAGCGAATTATTATAATACATTTTATAGTTTTTTTAGTTAGTCCAGTGTGTACTAGTGTCGTAATGTGTCTGCAACGTGTCATTGCACTGCGGCGTCGAGTTCCGCTGTGGGTTTTAGCGAGTAGGAGTACCTGGTGCGGCGCGGGCGTGGCGAGCGCGGACAGCGCGCGCGCGGCGAGGCGCGCGGCGGGCGGCGGCGCGGCGCGCGGCGCCTCCATCTCCGTCACCAGCACGTACGGCACCGGGTAGCGCATGCGCACGCCGCCGCACTCCACCTGCGCACGCACACACACACATTCATATAATGCCAGGCCCGAAACTTGCCATATACCACAAACTTCAAGTCTCTACTAAATTTCAAATAAATAAAAGCATCATAAGCACTTGCCGCCCCTTTGATTTTTACACAAAGATCGATTCGATAGGAACGAACAAGTGCAATAACAACAACACTATAATACATTCAAGTATAATAAATTAAACCATAAAGATAATCAATTGGGTAATTGACTCTATCAATCAATTGAATTACATTTTATGAACTGTCAAAAACGAGATTTACTGCAATGGCAATCTGTGACATCACTCATTTGCTAACTAACTAAATATGTATTTATAAATCTCAAAGTAACTAAAAATCTAATTTTACATTTATTTTAGAACATTAATCGGGTTTCCAAAGTTGAAAAATAAAATATAATTTTTTACTATTTCTCGAAATTATTGGTCAATTGTGTCAACTACCCAATTCATGATATATAATATGATATAAGGAGTGCAAATGTTTGAAGGAGAACGAAGTCTCACTCTGATGATGCTTTACGAGTGCAACACAGAGATCTTCATAATACTCTAGGAAGTTCACCTTGCTCTCTTGGCCACCAACACCACCACAAGTGCCTAATTTGAACCAGTCAATTGAATGTGACTGCTTCAAACTTTTACTTCCATATTATTTTATCAACTAGTTACTATTTTTTTATAACATAACAGTAATAATATTTACTTATACAATATTAGGATTTAACATCTAAACAATGTCCTCAACTCCAAATTATTAATGTTTATTTAGATTTATTAGAGTGCTGCTTGTACCAATTGTAACAAAACTATATATTATAAAACGTAGCCGTGTAGCGTATATAGGAGGCGGTATGTGTGTATGTACCTCGACGGCGCCGCAGCCCTGCTCGAGCGGGTAGAGCAGGCGCCAGGCGTCGAGCAGGCGCGCGGTGGCGGCGTCGCCGTCGCGCCACTCGCGCCCCGTCACGCGCCCCTCCAGCCCGAACGGCGCCAGGATCACTGCGGGCAACATACATCCGATACATGTTAAACACTATATATTAATAAGTTTGTATGTCTCTGTGTTTGTTACTTACTGGAATGAGAACTAGCTAGCATTTTATAGTACATATTTTAAATTTTGAGACTTAACTAAAAATCATTCTTATTTATACTATAAGGACAAGAAAGTGAATAATAAAAATAATAACAGATTACTTTTGATAGCTTCAATTTTTTTACATAAATTTAAAATAATATCAATAAATAATAGTACTACTCTTAAAATAATATAGCAAAAAAAAATATGTTTATTTATATTTATATTGAATTTCCCCACACTAGAGTATTACTTAGTCAGCATTACTTAGACATTGTATTGTGTAATCGTATGTAACAATCCTTATTCATATATTACAGGATAAATTAATAATGTCTAACATGAAACACTCATAGCTTGATAACGACTTTATATGAATCACAACAATAAAACACCATATTGACTCCATCCATTTGAGTTGATGTATCATCAAAGAAGTATATTATTGACTCGAATTCATCTCTTGGTACGTGTATCGTTTAGTATAGATTTCTCAGAGATGAGATATTTTCCAGCGGTAAAAAGTATCCTATATGTTGACCCAGATAACCAGCTATCGTCATAGCAAATTTTATCAAAATCTGTGCAGTGGATTTCTCGTGATGCGTTCCCAGATAGACAAACAAAAAACCTGAAAACTACAGAACCTGAAAACTACAGATAAAATATTTAATGTATAGATTCAACTCAGTTAGAATTTTATTAATAATGAAAACCTCGCGACTAGAGATCTATACATATAATAAAATTCTAACTAAGCCAAATCTGTACATTAAATATTTTTTGGAAAATCTTATTGAAATAAAGATTATTATCGATACAGAGGCCGAATCTATAGTTTTTAGAATTTCTGTCTGTCTGTTACCGCATTACGGAAAAACCACTGAAGGGATTTTGATGAAATTTGGTATGGTGATAGCTGGTTATCCGGGTCAATATATAGGACACTTTTTACAGCGGGAAAATATCTCATTTCTGAGAAAAAATACAAAAACTGCAATGTAAGAGTATACTAATATGTAAAACCTAAGAATTTCGTCTATGATCATCTGAATGCGGGCGGAGCCGCGGGCAATGCTAGTCTTATATAAGAAATAACTTTTAAAAAGAATTCATTTAGAGCTCTAACTGGACCATTGCATGTTAAGATAATATTAAGTAATACAAATTACATAAGGCGACACTTTAAAATGCTTTTTCGACATTTAAGGAGTGCCCCATTCATGTCGACCTTCGTATGTGGAAATGAAACTCGTTACCGATTGGTGTGTTTACGTTCTTAATAATAAATTTTACCAGATAATTTAATATATACAGAAAAAAAAGTGAAGTGCCTGTTTGTAATATCAAAACTAACAGCTTTTTACTAAACGCATATGAAATTATATACGGTATTTATAATAGAAAACAACATAATTTTTGTCTGTCTGTTTGTTCCTGCTAATCTCCGAAACGGCTGGACCTATTTTGACGGGACTTTCACTGGCAGATAGCCGATGTTATAAGGAGTACCTTAGGCTAACAAGCCGCGGGCAATGCTAGTAAATATAAAAGAATAGTTATAATTTTTAACGCAAAAAGGTTTGCGTTAAAAATTATGAAAATCAATCGCATTTTAAATTTAATCGCAATTTGTATCTGATTTCCCATAGTCATATAAATGTCATAACTGCACATTATGTTGAATAATTAAAACAGTTTATTTTTCTAAGAAATTTATGACAATCAATTTCTAATTAAAGTTTTTAGAGCTACTAAACTATTAATTTATCAAGTAACTACTATGAATACATACAACAACCAGCTTAAATTAGCAGAAACTGAAAAATGTAACAAACGTTAAAGAATTATCTAGAACATCATTTTTGATTTTACACACCACTCTAAGAATACCGGTTTCATACAAACTTTCATCCCCTATTTTACCCCCTAGGGTGTATTTCGAAATTACTTATTTTTTTCACGTATTTATTTAATTTTATTGAAGAGCATTAATTCCAAGTTTCAAGTAATTCTAATCATAAATAATTTTTTGGATTGTATTTTAACGTGTTTTCCAGTGGGAATGAGATAATCTCCCGCGGTAAAAAGTAGCCTATATCACTTTCGAGCCCTCCAACTATGCCCATACAAAAAAACAAGGCAATCCGTGACTCTGTTTCGATGTGAAAGAAGAACAAACAAACACACTTTCACATTTATAACATTAGTATGGAAGTATGGACGAATTTAAAAATACAAAATAGCTCATATATAAGATTACCCTTGTTGTCGCCGCGGCGGTCGGGCGGCGCGCGCAGGCGGGCCAGGCGCTTGGCGGTGAGCGTGCGCACGGGCGGGTGCTGGCGCACGTCCACCGACGCGCACACCGTGCTCTCGCCGTGCAGGAAGAACGCGAACGAGAACGACAGGTGCCACGGACTGGAACAGATACATCACTCGTATTATTATATTGTCTTGTATAAACATTTTAAAATATATGCAGTGAACAAGTGTTAGATATCTTTTATAATAATAAAACACTGTCATTTGTATTTTTATAGAAATATTTAAAATCGAACTCAAATAGTATTCCAATATTTTATAATATTACAACGGTTTCATCAATCAATATCAGTATTAGCATATATGAGAGATTTTTAAATTTTATGGGAATCTCGTTAAAAAAAAATCTTTTAAGGTAACCGAAATACCATTAAAAAAATTCAGGTGCTGTCTTTTACGTTTAAAGATATACAAGGCTTTGATTTAGAAATGAAACAAACAAACATTCATCAACACACAAAAAAATCAATGTATTTAGAAGCTTGAGACCACATAATAATGTATGTAGTTTAAACTACACATTACACTCTATATGCAAACAAAGGCGTAGGTAATATTGAATAAGGGTGAGCTCGATTATGTTGTCAACGAATAATTTAATATAATTATGCATCCATTACGTATTTCTGAACATCATTACTAGCGAGTAACGACGCCACACGTAAGCCAAATAACATTTTAATTCTTAAACTCGATGCTAAATAAAAATAATTTACGAAATATATGTACACCTACCTATATTTGTAAATGAGGACTCAAGAATATTTAGTACTAAATTAGTATTTAAATGTTCGAAGGGGAACGAAGTCTCACTCTGATGTCTTAACGAGTGCAACACAGAGATCTTCATAATACTCTTGGAAGTGAACCGTTGTGTTTTACCACAAGAGCTTTAATTTGAATCGGCCAAATGAAAAAGACCGTTTCAAATATATACTTCCACTATAAAAAAAATATATTTTATTGTCATTAACATGATAAGATAATACCTTTTGCCAACATCCTCTTCGTCGCCATCGTAGGGTTGAACAAACCACTTGCCGAGTCTTACGAAATCTCGAGATAACAGGCATCTGAAGAGAAAAATAATATAATATAAAATTATATATTTTATATAAGCACATGCAACGCCGTATATTAGAACTAGTCTATACATATAATAAAAATTTAAATTCTAAGTTGAAACTTTAAATTAGATATTTTATGGAAAATCTTATTGAAATATTATTATCGATACAGAAGCCGAATCTACAGTTTTAGTTAGTTAGTTTTTAGAATTTTTATCTGTCTGTCTGTCTGTTACCGCATCACAGAAAAACCACTGACGGGATTTTGATGAAATTTGGTGATAGCTGGTTATCCGGGTCAACATATAGGATACTTTTTACCGCGGTAAAATGTCTCATTTCTGAGAAAAAATACAAAAACTGCAATGTAAGAGTATACTAATATGTAAAACCTAAGAATTTGGTTTTTGGTCACCTGAACGCGGGTAGACCCGCGGGCAATGTTAGTTAAAACAAAAACAAAACAGTTTGTACATATGTATATATATATGATAATATTATAGACAATGAGTGCTTTATTTCCAAGTAGTATAACACAAGTGCATGAGCTGTCATTGCACACACCTATGTACAGCGTGGCGAATTTCTTTGTGTAGTTGTGACTTGTCGTGTAATTAGAATGCGGTATGCTGTGAACTTATATTAAACGTCTTTACGCTAAACTAGTTTAATGATATATTATTAAGTCACTTGAAAATTGTTCTTCCATATAAAGTAGTTTTATAAATATACATAAAAAAAAACTCGATCCATCTCTGCGTCGATTGAGGCATATTAAGTTTCATGTTGTATATAAAATTAGTATAAAATAACAAAAATTAAATGCAAAATGTTGATAATATATGGTACAAGTCACTTTATTAAACTTACATCATTAAAATGGTCGTATAAACTTTTATTCATATAAAAAGCTTAATCTCGCGGCTCGAGATTAGCCATAAAACACTAAACATGATAATCAAATTATACAGCCACCTATTCCCTTACAAAAGGCAATCAAAGAGGGATTTAATAATGAAGCTCAATTAACAACTCGTTATAAAATACATCTTTCTTTAACAGCCTGTTATAATGGCAACACGACGTATAAATATCCGCTAACAATACTGTTGAAAAAAAAAATGTTAAGGTTTTTTTTTATCTACCGCATCGCACGGCGGCGCTGGCAACAGGGGATCGAGCGACATTTTATAGTCAATAAAAATAAAATTGTTTAGTGAAAAAAGTTGAAATGTTTGTCCCTTCATTACAACACGTATCGTAAAATTGTCGCGATCGTCGGCGCACGCATTGTTTCTTTGACGTGCCGCCGACGGGGTCAACGACTCGTCTGGATTTCGTTCGTATCAGAGATTCGTCGGGTTGATGCCTGACGGTGGTGCTGCATCTGAGAGCCTACTCTAATCATCGTCTACACTCAGTGCTCGGGTTATTTACTAGCGGGTAATAAAGTGCAACGGTTGTGTGGAAAATGAACTAAATAGGTGTAATGACCTTGACGGCCGATAAATAAAGTGGTAGCGACCGAGCGTCTACGGGATATTTATTTACCTACGTAACGCACGCTACTTCATATTTCGTTAGCTAGGACCATTACAAGAACAGCGAAAGGAAATCTATCAATAAGAGTGCCACAGAGTTTAACATAATCTAAACCGTATAAGGCAAATTTTTTGGAATTTTTTCTTTTGTATTTATTTTGTGAGCTTTTGAGTAAAATGCATCGATATTTAGTAAAAAATGTTTTTAGAATGCCCGGGCATCGGTAGTGGTGGTCGCTCGATGCAACGACCTTCGCGTAACAATGACGTCGGCCGATGCGCCCGCGCACCAGGTGCAATACACACATTGTTCGAAATGCACGATTTCAATTAATCTAGCGCTGTGATATCATTAGATCAACGACTAATAAATTTAAAGTGTTGCTTTATTTTAATTCATAGACCAATTTATTCGACATGCGGATTAGCTTAAGATTAGCTCGAATAACGAACGCGTTTTCATGTAGTAATAATGTTTACAATCTAAATAAATTCAAATAAGTATTTAATAAAATTAAATCTGGACAATGTTGATTTATCAACACAATTACAAACGGTTAATACGTTGAAATGTAGTGATTACACAATAATGAAGGTGAGTAGTGAGCAGAAAGAGAACGCTTCGCAAACCGGTGGCACAAGCTGGTTTTGTTCTAGCCTTACAAGCCGCAAATTGCATACGAACAACTGCAATGCTTTATACAAATTCTACGAGCGAGATTGCAGTCAAATAAAAAAGCCGATTGCAGTTAAATAAAATTACAATAAGTAGATAAAAATAAATTTAAACATATTATGAACAAAAATAGTGTGCCGATCACGGTATGGATTATTTGATATTTCTTATGTTCTACATTATATATATATATATATATATATATATATATATATATATATATATATATATATATAATTTTGATACGAATATTAATTGTATAATTTTGTCTTATATTTAATGCTTTATCATGATAATGTTTGTACATTTCCATAACACCAGCTATTTCACACAGCAATTAAGAGTCCTCCATCCTCCATGTACCTACTCACATTGATTGATTTACAAAAATAAATAAAAAGACATGTTTGTAGTACCTTTCGATTAAATTATGCAACGCCTTGAACAGCAGCGAGCGACACTCATAGGAAAGCCCGCTCTCCCAAGAACCTTGATCTCCTTCTGTAAATAAAAAAAATAGTTTTAAGAAAATGTTTAAATAATTGTTTACGCTATCTTTATTTGTTATAAAATTATGTAAATAAGTATTAACTATTGCTTTTATTATAAAAAATGCAATTAACATTGATATGCGCTTGCGCATATTTTAATAACATTGCCTTGACTTTGTCATAGCCCAACAATGTTTGTTTATGGTAAACTAACCAGCATCTAAGAATTTATTCTCGCCGCCAACAGACTTGCGGTTATCCTAATTAGAATTAATTCATTGTTTACATAATATAATTGTCATTTCGATAATTACACATGCAAATTTGAGATGACACTGAAATTTTCCCAAAGGAAGCGATATAAAGAGATGCACATCATTGTGCAGCGTCAAGATACGCCTGAAATAGCTGTTGTTGCATTCGCAATCGGAAGATAAACTCGGCCTATCACTAGCGTTTCATGTGAAAACAAAACGGCCTGCGCGCGGTTGCCGCCCCGCGGCTCGCGCCGTCCTTGTCTTGCCAGGAGGCAGGGCGGGGGCGACCCCTGTGACGTCATTCCACAGCTCGCGGTGCACGTGCTTGTGTTTGTCGCGCGCGCGACACACATGCGAGCGACAGCGGCCGCTAACATTTTAATTGACATTGAATTATCCACCTTATATTGTTGTAATAGGACGCGATAAGTGAAACAAGGCTTCTGTCACTTTTACGTTTACGACAATAGTACACAAATTTAAGTATCATACACTATGCAGTCATCTCTTTATTTGAACAAAATGTTGAATGTAAAAGATCACGGTATTCGATATGATAATAATGTATTAACAAAGATCTAGTGTGACAACGAGGACATCAATATCGCTAATGTTTATGTTATGTGATAACATTACACATAAAGACATACATATGTTTAGGATATTTTTTACGCGTGCACGCGTCGTGCTGGAGCGGTTCCAAGCGTGCAGCCTTGACATTCGTGCTCCAGGTGCGCGCGCCATCTCGCGCCGCGACTGAACTAGTTTTTCCAGTATCTAGCGCATACTGACATAGAATATGACGATTGTATTTGCCATATAAATAATACAGAGATTTCTTACAATAATAACCGGCTCTAAAGCAACACAATACGTATAAAATTATAAATATAAACCGTCTAAAATATCTATTATATGATTTTCTTAGAAAAGCGCATTTGTACTATACATAGTACAACTACAACAATCGTGATAATAAAATATGTAATTGTTAATGCGATTTGGCGTGAATTATATGACTGTTTACAATCTCACGCGCAACAGTGTAGCGAGAGTATGTCGTAAAGGCATTCAAGGGCGTCAAGTAACAAGGCAGTATCCGCAAAATGAGCATAATAAATAAGTTAATTAGAAATCTCCGACGGTTATTCACTGTTCCTTACATTAACAAGTTTCGTCCGATCTTATCTTTTATTTTTTGTTATACAAACGAATAATGGCAATGCAAAATGACCAGAATATTTAGGTCAGTAAGAAATAAACATTAATCTCTAATAATAAAATTAATGATTCGTCTACACTGTTAGTTAAAATACCAATAATATTTTCTGGTCAGATGATTCACCAATATATCGGCAACGAATGTTTATTAGAACAAGTTGAACCAAAATTAGCCGCCCATAAAATTGAAATTCAAATAAAATAAAGAACTCATTCTTTTAAAAATAAACCCCTAAAACATAAAAAAATCTCCAAAATCGCTCAATAATATGGTAACAGCGGCATATCGTTAAGTAACGACGCAGATACCGCTAGTATGAAGCGCAGTTATTTCATATATAGGGGGCACTGCAATCATTATTGCGTCGGCACTACGCTTGCTCGTGGTATCTTCCAAGGTCGTTACCGACGAACGGTCCGCTTACCGCTCCTCGATACCGTCGATACCAGGCGAGTCACGACCGGGGTCGTGGTGCCATCGCGATATAAGCCTCTCCAAGAATTTCACTATCAGCCGATGAGCGCTTAACTATTAACTTATAAATCATAATCGATGATGTACGTAACATATTGAGTATACGCTGACTCAAGTGTCAAACTATTTTATTTAAGTATAGACGCTCTATACTTTAAAACAAAATTTAATATATAGACTGGACTAGCATAACGACTCCGCCCGCGTTCAGATGACCAAAAACCAAATTTTTAGGTTTTACATATTTTTAATTCCACGGAAATATGACAGCTATCATTCTTTGACAATTCAGATATCATAAACCTTTTCTGCTTTGTATTTTTTTTAATATAAACAGAATAAGATAAAGTAAAGTATATGAATGACATTGTAAATAGTCTTTGTTTTGTGCATTCAATGCACAAAAAATGAAAAAAAAAAACAGAATATCATGTAACTATTATTACTTATATCATAATTTTCGTCATCATCATCCACTCGGATTATAAAAGAATCACACACACTATCCATCAGATCATTAAGAGGGCACATTTTAATCTCTTGTTTAATAATATGGTTTATGCATTTTTGCTTAGGCAATAATAATAAAAAATCGTGAACGATCGTTGTGGACCTTTTTGGGACTTTCCAATTCTTTTTCCAATTGCAAAGATTTTACAAACAAAGGGTTTTCTTGAAAAGGCTTGCCACCTATATATTATTGGACAGGGATTCCTGTAATAGAAAAATAATTTCCCTAATAATTATTGTAACTTCAATAATATGATAATAAAAAAATAATTACCATTTTCGAGTTGTCAATATTTTTTTAAGTCTTAGTTTTTCTAATTGAAACCTTAAATTCAAGAAAGGTTTATTTTTTTATTTTGCTAAAATGCTTTTCGTTTTTAGTGCCAATGTTTCAAAAGCTTACAACACTTCTGAAATGTCAGAATTCCGTCAAATTAAAAATCAGACTTTAGTATAATCTTACATTACAGTTTTTGTATTTTTTCTCAGAAATGGATATTTTCCCGCGGTAAAAAGTATCCTTATATGTTGACCCGGATAACCAGCTATCACCATACCAATTTTCACCAAAATCCCGCCAGGGGTTTTTCTGTGATGCGGTAACAGACAGAAAGACAGACAGACAAAAATTCTAAAAACTATAGATTCAGCCTCTGTATCGATAATAATGTTTATTTCAATAAGATTTTCGAAAAAATATTTAATGTACAGATTCGGCTTAGTTACAATTTTATTATATGTATTATAGATAAATTGAGTTACGAAACAACAATTTTGAATTTATTCATGCAGTTATAACCGCAGAAATGGATAAGCTAAATGAACCAAAGATTTAAAATGTGCAACTATCTTTTCGGATTATTTCGCGGATTTATTTTGATATTTGGTTCCCGACGTTTCGAATGCTTTACAGCAATCATGGTCACGGGAGAGACTAAGGTTTTAGATGTCTCAAAAGGCTTTCCGCGAAATAAAATTTTTATTTTTTATTTAAATACATTTTTCAATTAACTTACGGTACTGATTTTTTATTATAATGGTTGTGTAGACTATAGTAATGATTTTTATTGTTTATAGCTGTAATTTTGTTTTTATTTTCATTTTGTACTGTTTTTTTTTAATCTTTAATTTAGTTTTTTGTTTGGGTGTGGGAATTAGGGTTGGAAGTAGAGAACGCCTTATTATATTACATGTTGAGCTAGCCTGTAAGTGTGGTGTACAGTGTAATACTTTTTAAATTTGTTTTATATTTTTAGTGTTATATCACATTGTATGTTGCGTTGGCTTGCCTAATAAATAAATAAATAAATAAATAAATAAATAATCCCAAAAAAAATAGTTTTATATAAAATGCCAAATATTTGCGTAAATCTGAGAAAACACTATTTTAAATGTGCATTAAGTTAATTAAAATGAAAATACGACGCGACAGATTGACCTATACACCAGTATCTATCTACATGGAAAGACGGATGATGTTTATGTTGATAAATTTGATAGAGGATATGTTTGATAAATTTGAATGTGCCATAATATGTAGATAGATGTATGAATTGTGCATAGTGCATGTGCAGCGGTGTGCAATTATTAGGCTGTTGAAGGGTTCAAGGTCGGTGTTCACCGGGCGGTGTAACGGCGCGGGTGGCACGGGCACGACACCTTACGCCGGGATCGATAGCGGGCAGACGCGCGCCGCCGCGCTGCCGGTCGCCTCCGACAATTGCCAAGCGATTATCACTCTCGAGGAGTCATTGCATTGCAGACTATTAAATATTAATTGGGCATCTGTATTAAGCTTGAAGGTTGGCTGGAGTGCCGTAAAGAGTTTTTTATTTGCATAAACAAATCAATTATGAATGGTGTCAGTGCTGTAACGCAGCCTTTTGTAGTTTAAGAGTATATTTTTACGATATTTAAAACATCTAAGCCGCTTTAACGGGAACGTATTTACGGAAACGATGCAATTCGTTCATGCCTCTATTAAAAGTGTATTCGCCTTCGAAATGTTTATTTGGAATCTGCGCTACTAACATTCGAACTAAAGATAAGATAGTTGAAACATCTAAAGCGAGCGGACCGATAAAGTGAATCACCTTGCGTTTCCCGCTTTAAAATATTCCTACTTACGAAATCACTATTCACGTAGCGGCAACAAGTTACCGCAAATATATAGTGAAGTGTTGGACTAATCGTGTGGGCAATAAATATCGCGTTTAACGATTCCGCACTTGGTGGGGCGTCAGGATTTATCGAAGTCGGCGACAGCATTAGCATTATCGCGTGACACGGTACGCGAGGCTTGCTTCAAATCAACGATGCTTATCATAATCATTGTCTTTAAAACGGTTTATAAATAAAATATCTTTGCTGTAGGTGTATCACGGCTTATGTGCTGATAAAGAATATTCATATTTATTGTTTATTTTATACTAAATAGAATTATTTTCCGTATAATGTTGTAAAATATATACATATATATGAATATTACAACGCTAAAAAGATAGTGTAATGAATAACACACCTCCGCATTGTTTCTTGATTCGAACG